AAAGATTCATCTTTCTTTTCATCACGATCAATACACGTTGCGCTGAATGCCAGTGCGAGAATCTGGGCCACAAGGACAAAGCTGAAATGGAAAACAAAACAACAAAGCCAACAACACAGGCATACTCACGGCACAATCTCACTCGCCGACGACGACTTACGCCTTCCAGCTAAAGGTATCCTCTTGACATCCTGCAACACAATCGCCACTCGCTGGAATGACTCTTGCAGAAAGCTACATGACCATAGCAGCAGCTAATGATACTCTTCACGCACCCTCTTATCAATTCAGTATAAATTACCACTGCTATCACTCATCACTCATTCTGCCTCAGTCCTAGTAACAGTGACGTATGCAAGCCTCAGTCGTCTGCTCTCTCGCTCCCCGGCGTGTGGGACCACAGCCTAAATCCAAACATTCATTCTCAATCATTGATTCCTCAGCTAATCCATGTCTAAATGTGCATGTCATTCTCAGCACCAGTCTCCCCGGCGTATAAAAACCCATCTGCTGTCTTTAACATCAATCAATTCATTCATATATGTAGAAGACTCGAAACAACTTAAGAAGCAAGCACGACGAAATTTTAACAAAATTATACAATACAACAAAGTACGAAAACAGCAAGTAAACACAGTGAATCCAAAAACACCAATTGATCTGACGCACCATGCATATATACAAACAGTACATATAACCTCGCAGACCATGTCTTGATGTAATTCCTTTGAAGAATCGCAGGACTTACACCAGCGCACCTACAACCCCTCTCAGGTTGACGATTCTAAGTTGGAAAATCGTCAAGTGGTTCATCCTCTGACTCTCGATTCTCAGCACCTTCCAACAGTTTCCTAATCAAGTCACACGTTAGCTATCTTGGACTAATTCTTTCTTCTGATCTATGGTGATCCTCCCATGTCTTAGCGATTTCCAAAAAATATTCTGTCTGACTTTTTGCATTAAGAACTTAAGGCACTGAGGTATAACCCAACCCCTCCTCTTCCAGTTTGTCAACTTGTGCATCTAACCTATTCTTCTTTATTGTTCACCCTTATTCTTCCGTGGATTGCTTAAAAAAGACTATGTCATACTTCGTAGAACTCTGAAGACTGTCAGTAGGACGAGTGGTATCCCGTTGGGCCATATCGTTGACATCGTCACTGACAGGTACTTGATTTCACGCAACAAATTTGCTAAAGGAATTTTGTCAGACTGTGAGCGTCAACTTTACCCGCAGCTCCAACCTTGTGTCTCCTCAGGTAAAACAAGAGGTCTTTTCAGAAGACTCTATGCATGTACGGCTAAGTATGAAAATTCCACTATATCATATTTGGAACGTATTTCATGTGATAAAAACTGTCAGGCATGAACTAACTAACCTTCTTTGCACTATTAAATAAACCATTTCCTGGTGACTCTAAACTTTAGGAACCCAAACGAACGAACGGACAAATAACCTTGACAAGGACAATTTTAACCAATCAGAAGGCTCAAAATGAACGGCGCATAATTTTAATAAACCGTTTATATACAAGTGAAGCAATGTTAAAATATAGTTACAAAGGATAGCGTTCTCGTATATGTTGCAAAAAAAGTCCCAATTAGACATAGGAGTCTTTAAAGTCATGTTAAACCAAGTCCTATACATAAACTCGTCGAGATAACTGTAAATCATTGGATTTCTTGATCCATTGACCGATCTTATTCGTTTTTTGAGATGGCCACGTCTCTGCAGTATTGGTACCACTGTACTGCAGAAACTTCTGACATTTCAGTCTCATATGCCGTTGCTGTTACTGGTCTTCTTATAACCCAGTTGTGACACATCATCAGTATCTTCGTTATAGGTAAATGAGATTTCGAGAAAAATGTATCTAAGTAATCTATAAATTAAAAAATAACTACATACCCTCTCGTACCGATTTTCTGCATCTGCACTCCCTGCAACGTAAACATATCTTTGTATATGCATAACACCTCCGCACTGGCAAGTTTTAGATCTCGCTATCAGCCCGTTCTCTAAACAGTAATCAAAAACAAACGCAAACGATGCACAGCATCCATTGCAAGTTAGATGATTGCCTGCTCAAGGTCATTTATCAAGGTCATCCGTTCTCAAGGTTGTTTTGGGTTCCTAAAGTTTAGAGTCACCCATTTCCTCCACCCTACAACATCAACCTTTATTGTTATTGTAATTCTTTTAGGGTGAGGATATACGTTATCGCGTTTTAAATATACCACGCTCCGGGTTTTCTCGCCTTTCATTGGCTATAACAGTGGTGGTCAGTTTGATATTTGATTGCTCCTAGGTAGGTGATGTCGTGTGCGGTTTTGTACGGTTGTGTCATGCGTGGTTTGCAAGCAACAGTAAAGAGTAGACACCAGAATCAAATGACCCTAAATCAATCAATAAGACGGCTCGGCATTGCACGTGGATGGTGTTCGTAATCTTCGTTGCAATTTTCACCCGAATGTTTTAATACCAATAATACAACGACTAGTCCTCCTAGGCCCTAATACTCATACACTCGAGTGGAAGGGTTATTCGCAACTATCATCATCAGACTATATATATAGTCTGATGATGAATATTCATCATAAAGTTAATCATACTTCTGAATTAGTAGATCCTGCAAGTGGAACTCATACAAATTCTATTGAAGGATTCTGCGTGCATCTAAAAAAGTATTATAATAGTAAATGGTTCCCGATATGATATGATATACAACCATCTAGATTTTTTGTATCCACATTGGTTTTATATGTCTACAGATACTCCTGTGAGAAACCGGGGTCAGTTTTTGCAGCATCTTAAAGATGTACACCCTTAATAATTCAGTTTTATTACATATATACCTTATAAATACACTTTTGTTTCTAAATAAATGCCATTTTTCGTTTAGAAGAATATAGTTGGCAGATCCAAGGTCATTTGGCTTTGGTGTCTATTCTTTACTGTTGCCAGAAGGGTTTTATAAAAGCTTGACAAAATATATTAAGGGGAGAGATTGGGCTGGACTTCTATGTCACGTTTGGTTGAAATTTCCCTTGGAAATTTTTGGTCAATAAGTTTTAGTAAAATTGTGTTATATGTTATCTGGATTGATGGGAATTCCTATTTCTTGGCTAGTTATGTTGGTGTCCGTGTCATGTGATCTGATTGCGACACACCCTTAGCATATTGGTTGCAATGATTAGTGTTTCAGGCAGACTGTGTCAAAATATCTCTATAATTTCGCGCATGTTGCCACACGATAGCACATTGTAAAAACTAAGTAGGATTTAGCACGTTGAATAATAATCCTGTACTGTTCGTTACGCAAGTCTCCTTATATAGGTAGTTGCAAGCCTCCTTATATAGGTAGTTGCAAGCCTATATAGTGCTAAATGCCAAGTATATAGTACAAGTAAATGTAGTAAATTAGGGTTGATAGCTACTTCATTAATCTGTTAATATGCAGTGACATCATCAAATAGACTTTACTTGACGATGAGCTAAGAAACAATTTTGATTTCTTTCCAATATGCTGTTGAATCATTTCTATGATCACCAACTGCAGTGTTCGCATATCTACTTTGTTAAGTATGCGCATGGCCTAACTGTTTCAATTCCTGTTAACTGCTAGCTACACTATACTAAGATCAACAGCTTTCTATCGGGAGTCACTAAATGGTCTTAAACTGAATCCTTACAAATGTCAGACTGTTAATTCCAGTTTTAGATGTAAGAGAAAGTTAAATGAAGCTGTTTATATCTATGGCCGTTGTATAATTGATGATAGTGATATAGAAATCAAGTCTGAAGTGAAGCATATTGGATTAATTCTTTCTTTGACCAATTCTGGTCTTCCCGCGAGTTAGATTTCTGAAAGAATATTTCGTCTTACTTTCTACATTTGAGACATAACCCAACCCCTCCTCTTACAGTTTGTCAACTCGTGCTGTACTGTTCACCTTTATTCTTTCCTGGATTGCTTGAAAAAGACTGTCGTACTTCGTAGAACTCTGAAGACTGTCGGTAGGGCGATTGGTCTCCCTTTGGGCCATATTGTTGCTATCGACATTGACGATGGGCACTTGATTTTGGCAGACCATGGGCATTCACTTTACCTGCAGCTTCAAACTTGTGTCTCCTCAGGTAAAACAAAATGTCATTTCAAACGACTGTAGGCGTGCACTTCTTAGCATAAAACATCCACGATACCATATATGGCACGTATTTTATGCGATGAAAATAGAGCCAGGGACGAACTAACTAACCTTTTTTGCACTAGTGAATAAACCATTCTCCGCATCCCGTCAGGCTTTACTGTTACTATTCTTATATATTCATAATCCTCTCTCGAATATTTTTGACTTAACACCGTAACTGTGGACAAATTCCTGTGGCTAATTTGTATATATATATATATATATATATATATATAATATAACTGTCACATCTGAATTTTGTCTGGATCACATTTCAATGTAAGAACTGTCTTTGTAATAATCTCTTTCCTATACTCCCAATCATATGGCAGTGTAAGTAATAGCTTGATTTTCACGATTTGGTTGATTTGGAAATGTACTTTATCCAGTACCAGTAGTTGCTCCGAATTCAAACCGCTCTTCATCTATATTTAGTGTAGGTAATAATGTCAGCTTCCAAATGACGTAGCTGATATCGTGATACATGAGATATCTGCTGTGAGTTTGAGCGGTGATATACATGACAGTTGTCTGAAGATTGTCATATTAATGCCCCCACAAAATGTGATGCAGATATGCACGTTTACAATTAATGATCAAGGCTTAATAGTTGTCCTCAAAATCATTTATAAGCCAATGAGTTTATATTCGAGTTGTTGTGACCACTTTGGTGAATACAACGTCGTGACTGCTTTCCTCAACGCCATTGAGATTTGTTACAAATTTAACTTGATGGAATCTACGCATCGTCAGACATTGGAATTATTGATAGCAAGCTTTTCCTCTCTCCACATCAGAAAATATTATGTATGGAAGATGAATTCACTATTGCAATAAGAGGCTTTCTCACAGTGCATAAATCTTTAGTGTATGCTGTGTATGCATCTGTTGTGGGTCGCTGGGATTTCTTCAGTAGTCAGTCGATCAGGGCTGATGTAAATTCCCAAGTGAAGTGGTGGTCAGCATTCTACCATCTCACTCCTTATCACTTAGTCTAGTAGTCGATGCAGACCAATCCTATATCATCATCGTACAATTGACAGGAGCGAATCCCCTGCCTTTTGTCCATGGTATTCAAAAGACTTTATTTTATCAGTGTATTTACCTAAGAGGATAATATCATCCGCATACTCTAGATCGACGAGACTACGCTGGTCACAAGTCAAGCCCTAAGTTCCTGAAGTCATTTAGGGTCAGTCATTTTCACTAATACATCTATAATGGTGTTAAACGAAAATAGAAACATTGCGCGTCGTTGGTGGACAGAGTAAATTCTCAAATATTTTTATTTTATAAATTTAAAGCAAGATGAAGCTGTACAATTAGTGCGTGATGGTATCGCCGCTGGTATATTCAATGATATGGGTTCAGGAAGTAATGTCGACGTCTGTATTATAACCAAAGATGGCGCAAAGTATATTCGACCATATGATGAAGCGAATGTTAAAAGTCAAAGGTAGGAAGATATTATTTTGATCTAGTCAATTAATTCTGTTGTGTCACCCTGTGTGTGTTGTATTATAATTATTGGTTTGGGTTTTGTGGAACATAAGGCCTTAGCAGGAGGACATCTCCATTTCTCTCTCTTCTCTTCAGTCTTTATCTAGCTGGCTCCATGATCGTCCATAAGTTTTTGTTTCCTCCTCACCAAATCATTTCCATGTCACCCTTTGACGTCTTGTCTTTTGACATTCAGACTCCATGTCATGGAGTCTGATATCACCCCACAGTCTCCTTAGCGCGTATGTCCAACCTATGCATCTCCATTTACCTCCACATGTTGGTTGGGCGATACATTCTGTGCTGGTTCATTACCAGAGTTCCTTGTTGTCAGTCCTTTTTTGCTGGCCACGTGATTTTCAATGTGGAGCAAAGAGGATAGTTGCTGATGAAAGTCTCTGGTAGGCTGTTCGAAATGCTTTTAGTGACGTGTATTCCATATAGAAGCACTGACTGACTGATCTGGATAATTTTCCTCATGCTGAATTAGTCCAGTAGATTTCCATACTGATTTCAGTGTAATAGAGATCTGTCTTGCTACTCCGATTCTCACTGGCTTTGACATCGTATCGTATATGCGCTGCTGCCTGTAGCTAGAACGATGCTGCCTAGTTCAGGTGAATGGAAGAAGTGACTTCCTAAGGATATCTTCCATTGGTGATAATAATTGATGCTTGTTGTTGTTGTGGTCGGTTAGGTGTCTTCATCAACCCTGTCTTCTCTATGTACATGTTAAATAATATCTAATAAATTTATTCTAAGGGATTCAAGCATACGATCAACTCAGTGACCAATAAAAGTTTGGGTCAGGTCAGTCTAGGTGAAAAATGAGGCACATTATATTCATCAACAAAACTGGACTGTCAGTAGTTGGTTTTTTCAAGACAGGATTTTAGTTTGGGAGGCTGGATTAAATTTGACTTCATAGATCCTGAACTAGTACCAGGACAAAAGATCCGGATTTACAACACTGATATCAGTCAGGTAACTGCTGTCATTTAGATTCGGCGTGCGTGCCATCTAAAGCTTTTCCAATGTGCTATATTGCAGACGCCTTCGCTCGGCAGTGAAGATGGAATACTTAAAGACGATAAGCAGCAAAGGACACTGGTAACCAATCATCTAACGACCCGAATGAAATATGTGTCGGTCGGTCGGTCGGTCGGTCGGTTTTCGACATAGAACTTTGCACATATGTGCGGCAGTTCAAGTCGCCACAATCTATGTAGCACGCAAAGCAAGAGAAGGAAGTAGAAGAAATGCATAATATAGACAGTAAACAGAGGTGTGAGACAAAGGAATAGTAATAACGGAGAACAAAAGTTTAATTGGAAATCATAAGTCACAAGGAGTGGATGCATCTGCGCCACTGAGAACGATTTTGAGCCATGTCACCAATTGTTTCCAACCATTGGTTTTTACCATCCCGAGGGCCCCAACCAGGAAGTCTACATCTTCCTACGTGGCTTAGATTAACTGTTGTGGATTTCATTGATTGGTGCCATGTTTTGGTTTGACCGCCGCTAGCTCTTTTCCAGCCTGACCCTATATGAGCTAACATTGCCCGTCGAGGAAGGCGATGACTAGGCATACGTAGCACATGTCCTAACCATCTCAGTCGGTCGAGTAAACCTCCAAGTGACATCCCACTTTAAGGGCCCTCGAGCAGAATCCGAATGACGAGTAAGCAGGGAGTTGGGTGTGATTCCATGGTATACGTGAAGTAGGTCATGTGAAGAGCGAGCGATCAGTCGTAGTGCCAAATGAAAGGAGCAGAAGTGATAGTACTCTGATGCATAAAAATGGTTGAAGAGTATTCAGGTAATGAATCCTACCCAAAATCTATGTAACCATTAAATACTGGGTTTTTTTCCACAGTTGTTGCTTGTTGTAAATTGACTAGAGGAATGAAATGTTTTAATCATTACTCTTTGAATTCACTTATTATGAGAAGATCTACACTAGTCTGACCTTTTTTACAGTTTAAAAAGTAGGCTTCATTGAATTTTAGAAATGTATATATAGAGTCACATTTCTTTATCGCTTGTAAGTAAATAGGCTTTGATGGCACTATAGCTGAAGTGAACTCAACTTGCAGTGTAAAACCTTTTGCGCAAAACTGCAAAAGTTCAACTTACCAAAAAAATATTCCATGATATTTCCGCCTTTGCTTTCTTTATTATTTTCCAGAGCAGAGATGTGTCTCTCTCATCCACTCTCTGTCTGACTCTTCTCATTCAATCGTTCATTCGTTAAAAGAAATCAATTTTGTGGACTTTTGATTTTTTCTTTTCTCAAATTAATCAGTTCATGTGTTACATTTACAAAGGGAAAGTTATTGTCTTAAAACTATGTACTACTGATTTATTGAGGCGAGTAGTTCGATAGTACTCATATTAAACAGTATTAGTGCTTGTTAGGTATATCTAAGTGATCTGAACACTCGACGGATGTTTCATTCGTTTAAGGCGAAACTCGTCAGTCAACGGTGTATCCAATGTGTTTGACTCAGCTCAGAAAGCCGATGTAATTCAAACCAATATGATTTAGGCTAGTTGGCTTCTACTCGGATGAACTCGTAACAGCATAAATCAAATTCACAATTTGGAAGTTGATTCCCAATTTACACATTTCGAAAGATGGTTGTTGTAACACCTTAGTTTCCTTTGGAAACCAAGATTATTCAGACCACACACTACCGTAAATCGTTTCTTGATTACCACCAATGGTATCAAGCAGAGCACATTGTATGTGATCTGAATAATTTCGATTTCCAAAGGAAATAATCATCTCGAACTGTGTGAATTACGGACTCATTTGCAAATTGTGAATTTGATTAAAGTTATTGTCTTCATGATGGACTCTATTTTACACAGTAGCATCCAAAGAAATCGCGAAGATTAAAAGTTCAATCTCGAACTGACCTCACAGTGAGAGAACAAGAGAACCACCAGGTGGTACTAGGTAGGTGTTTTGTGCCCATAGTTTTGAACTGATTTTTCAGGAGTGCGCTCCCATAACCCCACCGCTAAGGATCTAACTCTTGACCTTCAGATTATAGGACTGAACTACATCGACTCCTAGCTTAAAGATGGGGGAGGGAGTGAAGAAGTGAACGTGTTGCCCACTTCACTAATTTGGCGAGTTGCATCAGCTAACACCTATGGGTTGATCGCTGACGAAATCTCAGCACGGATACAGAAGGCTAGTTTCGCATACGCCAGTTTACGCTGTCTCTGGCGTAGACGTGATATCCGGCTGTAGACTAAAGGGCGTGTGTTCTGCTCAGCAGTTCACTCTGTTCTCCTTTACGGTTGCGAGTGAAACATGGCCATTGAAATTGGAAGACATGAATAGGCCAGCTAGCTGTCTTTGATCATAGGTGTCTGCGTTCTATCTCCCCTGTTAGGTGGTGTAATAGGTTAGTGAGCAATATTTAGGTCAGGCGTAGAGTGCTATGTAAGGAGGGGATATCAGTCGGTGAGGTTGTGAAGCTACATCGACTGAGATGGTGTCACGCATGCCTAGCCATCGCCTTCCTCGACGGGCAATGTTAGCTGATATGGGGTCAGGTTGGAAAAGAGCCAGCGGTGGTCAAACCAGAACATTGCATCAGTCAATGTGAGGTGTGGACATCCTGGTTGGCGTCATCGGGATGGTAAAAAGCAATGATTGGAGACAATTGGTGATGTGGCTCAAAGTAGTTCTCAATGGTGCAGATGCATCCACTCTTTGTGATTTAGAATATCCGATAAACTCTATCGTTCTTCCATATTTCTATCGTTTTTGCCTCATATTTCTGTTTATTATCTATCTTTTGAATCTTTCTTCTCTTGCTTTATGTGTTGTATGGAGTGTGGCAACTTGAACTGCCTCACTAGTGGTAGCGTATGACTTATCTTTGGGATACTTTATGCAACTTCACTCATAACGTAGTCAATTACTGACTTTCTAGTGAGCACATTCCATTAATATTCAAGTGTCGATTTGCAGTGATTTGTAACTGGATGACGTTTCGAGCACAATTGATTGCTCATGATCGTATCAATTTATTCAAACGGCTTCACGATTTAATATATATATATATATATATATATATATATATATATATATAATATATATATATACTTGTTGTTCGCTGCAATTTTAGATATGTATGTGTTTGGAGTTGATTCTGTGAACAAAGATTCAGTGACTAACCTCTCTCTCCACCTAACTACATTACTTTTTAATACTTTCACCCTGTTGTGAATGCACTGCAATGACTGACCTTTTTTCTAGGTTATTTAACTTAACAGGGTCAATCATTCTAGGTCTTGCTCAATTTTTATATTCTAAAAATCTAGTTAACGCTGATCTACTGGTTTAACCTGTAGCTGACCTCAACCATTGCATGGTATTTAGTAAAATGAATTTGATTTTTTCTGATTGGATCCATCAGGTCCTTGAGCCGACAAAGTTTATTGCTAAAAGAGTTGATTGGTTTAGAGGCCACCTTAATTCCAGTTTCAATTAGAATCCTACGTATGACCCCTGATGTTCCTTCTTTATATAGCAGTACTGCAGGGGGTTTGGATTCCATATTATTTATTTTCTTTCCACTACTAACCTTATTTTCTCTATGATTATCCACATGTTTTTAAATAAAAAAATGATATGGTTGTGAGCAATAAATTGTTGCTCGAAACGTCATCCAGTTATGAATACTCTATGACTGTGGTAACGTCTCTGACTGCAGCACTGTGTGATACGGATTCAAATCTCTGAGGGATGGACCTTGCTGACTACTGAGTGTGAACAAGCACGAAACCTAGGTCCAGACAGCGTTTCCTGCTGATTGAATCCATAGTGCACCGTGGTGACAAGCCACCAATTTTGATAACTGGCCACATTACAAATTTGTCGTCTGATAGAGTTCAATCTGCACCAAGCAAAAGATGAGACGCATGATATTAGGTTCCAATCGGAGTTATGTGTTTTGCGCAACGTACACTTCGAGCATTCTAATAACACACACATATCCGTGTGCTTGGCACGAGAATCTATATGAAACCGTTTTGGAGTGACAGCATAGAAATAGGTGAAGTTTAAAAGGCTATATTGAAGGTCAAGGGATAGTTATGAGATAATGACTGTACAGGGGCGTCAAATAAAGGACTTCACTAATCCAATCAAGATATTTATATTATTTCGGGGTGATCACCGAAGTTTGGTCATTAAACAAAGATTCAGTGTGGTATTCAACAGGACTTACTAAGTCCTGTCATCAGTTGTAAAGTGGTGTCTGAACATACATACCTTTATCACAGTGACTCCGAGTCATAGTTACGAACTATAGGCAACATACCAGAGTAGTGGCTGATTCACATCGTTTTTCTGCATACAGAGGTTGGGTCGAAGTCTTATGATGACAGTGGCTTCTGCGAACCGAAGTGACCATGCTTTTCTTTTTGTACTGATCATTTTGAAAGCCTGATTAATTTCCACTTTATGTCTCGTGTCAGTTATGTTTCTGGCAATTGCACCTGAGAAAACTTAGCTGCCTTTCAGACAGAGGATTTTAGGGATATGCTCAGAAAATCTAGACGACACTTTCCTCTTAGTCCTTCTTATGTACTTGCTGCCGCAGGTGCAGGTGTTTTGATAAATGCAGTTTGAGTTGAAATGAACAGGATACTTATCTACTTTTGAATGGATTATTGAGCATACTGTGTTGTGATAAGGTTCTTTTCTATAAATGCGAGCTCCTCTTCAATCTTATTTTCTGAATATAACTTCATAGCTCTGCAAAAAAAGTTTTTACCAGGCTCCGTTTGCATATATATATATTGTTGTGTAGATGTGAAAACTTATTTTGTGTTCATTGTATCACTGAACTATATCGAATTATTTGAATTCAACAATGACATATGAAATTATTAAACTGTACACTGATTTCAATACGGGAAGCTTGTAGAATACTTACAACACGCGAAATATAACTGAATTCAATTCACTCCACTGTGTTTATTGTTTTTGCTCTACAAAAAATTATAAAAGGAAGTAATCGTATGAAATTTTGAAAATCTCGCGTCCCTGTAAAATACAGTCCGTGATTAAGAGATTACATGGTAACAATTCGTTGTAAGATTATTCATCAACATACCGGTATGTTTTCTTCAGAACTTGTCTTCAAGACAATCCTTTTCCTCGACAGTATTTTAAACGCTTGCGTCGACAAAGACTGTTGCCTACGGGTAGGGATTTACATTGTCTTGCTGGATCGTATATCGAAACTGCTCATGATGCATATTGAGTCAAATGCTTACTACATTCAGTCGTATTCAATCAACTGTGGATTCTTTAGATTTATTGTGCCACATTAAATTTTTCAATTTTTGTCACAATATGGAGGATCATGTATATATTCTTCATTCTCCAGACCGACTTTTAATTAATACTTTTCTCATTCCTTTACGTTTCGAGTGGAATATAGCGCTTCACGCTTTCGGCTCTAAAGTTTCTGTAGCAGTGGTGTATATTGTTTTACGGAGTGGAATGTTTAGCCTTATACCCACTCCTCCCTCGATTTCTGCGAGGCTTACTGGTTAAGTGACAGCTTTGCAGCAGTTCATTGGTGACCGGGAATTGAACGGCACAGACCACATGCGTGATTGGCCATTAAGCTATTGACGCACGGACTGTAATTATACTACTTAATAATAATATGTCAGAATAGGATGTTTTAAAATGTTTTCAAAATAGATCACAAACTGATTTCAGTTAAAGAGACATTGAAGATAAGTACTGGAGTAGTGCACAACTGTTTCATCTTAGCCTGGAGCTGACTCTTCAACAGAACACAATAATAATCCTACAAGGAATCGAACCTATGCCATCTAGGTTACAAAGTCAGACCGGATACCATGCAGCCCTAGAAAGGAATTTTATTGTCCATCAATTCTCATTTCTGTCAGTTCGTAATGTATAGCGCGTCCACCAGTCCAATGTTGTCGGCGAGTAATTGTCTCAAAATGTGTTTATTTTTTTGTACAGAGGTCATTGAATTGACTGAAGAATACCAATTATATTTCAAGTAAAGCAGGTATCAAGCAGGTCATATATATATATATATTACAGTGATCTGAATAATAAACTGGGTTTCCAAACAAAATTAACTGTAGTGAAGTTTCACCTCCTTGAATCTTGTGTAATTGAGAAGTGGATTTAAGGCGGTACATTAGTCTTGAACATTACTCGAAGGGGTTAGGAAAAGGGAATAGCGGTTCATCTAATGGATACTGAGTACAGTTTTCATCAAAATGTTTCAACCTAATCTAAGTATTATTAGTTTCACTGCATAACTGTAAATGTTATTTAAAAACCGGAATCCAAGATCATAAACTATCTAGCTGGTAAAAGACACGCGACATATATACTCTATCATAACAACATGCATGTGTGGGCAAATATTACGGACACCGACAGTTTGACTGGGAAAATGTAGAAATCTTACGAAATGGTAGAAATACAAAACAGATGACAGGGAAATTACTAGAAGTCCTTAGTATTCAGATGAATTAGTGATCAACAGACATATTATCATAGATCAGAAAAGTCAGGTTCCAAATCCAGCAACAATGATCAGTACGGATATGAATTAACACCGATCACGACGAAGTAGGTTGTCGAGAGATACATAATAATATCATTTGTGCATAGGGATTTCAAATAAATTCCCACTTCACTCATCAAAGTTGTACTCTTAAGTGATATTGCATCTAGAAGGAGGACAAAGAGTGTCAACTGCCTCGCAATTAAAACCCCATCACCCGCCTCAGAGAACAACGCAACCGTGTTAAAAACAAGCAACAGTTTTGAGAATTAATTGTATTGGATGAGTTCTAAAATTTCAATAGGACTCATCAGGTGATGAATAATCCTCAGGAGTTTTTTTATCTTTATACTGCTATTGATCATTTCTTTGACCTGGTGTTGGTGTATCTGAACTATATTACGTATGTGACTTGTCGTTTATTGACTAATAAATTACGCGTAATAATTCTGGTCACTTTTATTGTTGTGTACTAAGTGATGAAGACACCCAACAAACACCGGTCACTATCATCAACGACAGCAATTCAAAGAAAATAATCTCATCCACTTGCTTGTACTGAAAGTATAATTTTAATTACAGGTGGCACGAATAACGATACTAAAGCTAACAGGGATGGTGTTGGGAAAGCATTCATTGCTTTGAAATCAGTGTCAAAGGAGACATGACAAGTTAGCCATGGCTTCTATGGTGACATGAAGGAGGTCATTTGGGAAGAAGGGAATTAAAGCTTACAGGCAATCGTGGAGCCAGTTATAAAAAGACTACAGAGAACAGGTGTAAGTGGAGGTGTGTCCCAGCTTAGACTCTATACATTGCAGTTGGAACCCTCAGGGAATAACTAGTGTTACAGGTGAGTGTAAATGTCATTTCACTAGTTGCAGAAAATTATCTGAGTTCTCTGTCTAGAAAGATAACAAATACTTCACAATGCAAGCCATCCACCTGAGAAAAGAACACAACGCCAAGAAAAGGGGCAAATATCAATTAATTAATTACCCCAGTTAAATAATGATTCGAGACTAATTTCCATCTGACTATTTATCTCGAATTGCACTCATCTCTTCCTGCTATTAGTTATGAAATCCTCATTAAAAAGCATACATCTAGAATGGTATTGTACCACTGAACTTGATCTGTATCCAACTTCTTAAATCAATCGATCAGTGTAGATTTAAACAAGCCTAATTCCCTTAGGGATTTGCTTTATATTTGTTGTTTTATGGCTAACAATGACTACGTATCACATATGTCTGCCATCAGTGTTATACACCTATTAAATTATTTCCCATATTGCTATTTAGCTAAAAGGACATACGCGTATACAGTAGGAACAGTAATGTATTTACACTTATCATTATTATTTTAGGTTGCTTGCTTTCCCAAAGAAACATAGGGTTTCAGCTAACGGCACATTCCCATTTCACTCTGTTCTCTATGGTCTTTTTAGATGGAGCCATCTTTGCCCATAAGCTTTCATTCCCTCCTCCCTAAATGTCGCTGGTGCCACGTTCAACTTGTCATTCCCCATTTCGGTTCCAATGGAGGGCCTGACTGGAGTGTGATGTCAGTCAGCGGTTTCCTCAGTATGTGCCCAACCCACCTCCACTTCCGCATATTTTGTAGGCAATGGATTCTTGGGTCTTCTGTTTCCCGTCAAAGTTCGTTGTTTCTTATCCTTTCTGACTGGTCGCTTGATCTGCGGTATCAAGACAGTGGAGGAAGATGTCAATCAATGGAAATGCCTTTCGTGAGACATCATAGATAACAAATCTCAGAACCATAAGCAGCATCTACATGACATAAGTGTTGAAGACTTTATTTTTGTTCCTTATGCTGAGTGCAGCAGATTTCCCCACTGATTTCAGAGTAATAAAAGTCAGTCTTGATTTTTTCTTAATCTTGCCTTTGAGATCGTGCCTTATCTGTGCAGCCTTAAACAAAACCTTATCTTAAACCAATCATGAATCTAATTCTATCTGAAAAATGTAAGGATAGAATTGCAAATTAACTGAATGTTGGAATAGGAATTGGCGATACAGGTTTTACTCTCCGGTAGTGATCCTATCATGATCGCAAATTGAAGTGAGTGATTCAGATATGTAACATAAGGGAATTATTCTATCGGTTATTACATAATTACAAAAAAACAGTCGATGACTTTCAAGCCATTTCTTATCCTCTTTCACTGGAACTATCTTACTCTGTCTACCTGAATATTTTAGGTCTTGTTTGTTTTATTTGATTATTATTATCTGTTATTTCAAATTCGATCACAAAATGACTGCAGTTAGAGAATCGTTGAGAACTAGGCACCCATCACCCCACCACTGATAGTGATAGAACCACCTCGGGTCTTCAGGTTGTGTGGTAGGCTCATTTCTATTCAGTCACTGGAAGGATTGAATCCTTGGTCTGGAACAATGATTATTCACAAGTTAAAAATTACGCATTTCATTCAAATAATCTAAAAACGGAGAAATAAACAAACAAAGTCGACGAACTACTTCTTTCATATAATAAAATGTATTTCGCCCTTGTTTGGGACCCTTCATCAGTCAGTACGCATCGACCGCCAAGCCGAAACGGAGATCCCACAGTTGCAAGGTGAGCTGGCAGACCATTCAGCCACTGAGACTCAATTCAATAGCCTATGCGAAGTAGTAACCAGGGTGAGGGGTTTGCGAAGTTAGCCAGGAGGACAGTTACTCGCCTATGACATTAGCTGATGGTGATGGCGCTGCATATTTCGTGCGAATTGTCAGAAGTTGGAATTTATTGACTAGTCATTTGATCAAGTCGCAGTAGCTGAATGGTTGTTAGCGATCTCGCCTTGTAACCGGAAGGTCCTGGGTGGTTTGAACTCCAGAGTGTAAGTACTGCTGAAGAATTAGTCCCAAACAGCTATCCAGAATTTCGCTGCTGGTTCTCTAACTGATGTTAGTCAGTTCGTGACCAAAAACCTGTAACCAATGAAATCCTTGGAAACCAACACTTGATAATAAAATATATTATTAGTTTTTATTTAGAAAAGCCTGAGGAAACAGAATACAACCAAAGTAAACATACTTAAAGTCACATAACAATGATAATAACGTATGCATGCCTCATAAATTACTTAAAATGGTGTGTTCGTTTGTTTAAACCCAAAAATGAAGTGAAATAAAGTAAAGTGAGCTGAAGTGGAAAGTTACGTAATAATAAAGGATATTTTATTTAAAATAATGGTCTTTTTAACTGATTACTAAAATGTTTGGAGAGTAGTAGTAGTGAGCGTCGTGGGGAGGGGTGTCAGCAGGTGTGTGTGAGCGAGTGTCAAAGGGGGGAGTTGGTAGCCGGAGAAAAAAGCGAAATGAGTAATATGTTAACGAAAAACAAAGAAGTAGTGCTTAGAACCAGGATGCGCATTGTCAGTTCATCGTGTTAATTAGTGCATTAGTTACTGCTGTGCGTGTGGCGGTGCGACAGTTCAGTGATAGGTTGGGGTAAGAGTTAGGGGCTGAGGTTTTCTTTTTCAAATAACAGAAAAAAAAACAGAAAACAACGAAACTTTAGGGTATTACATTTCCACATTAAATGTCGACGTCAGTCGGTGAATGAGATGTGTAACTTGTACTTGGCAGTACGTAGGCAACCGATGATGACTGAGTTATCGTTTTCATCATACGAGATGCTTCTGGTTGAATGAATTCAGCAACTAAATATCCACGTACCATAGCTTCTCTGACAGACAGACGTTCAGTTTGTTCTGAACTACTACCGCTACTATCACCCTTCTTAACTACTGATGTTGTGAACAGCATACAGCCTGTGTCTTTGTCGATTAAACCTGTGCGTATCGCCGAGGTGATATCCAAATTGATTGGTGTATGTCTAGATTGACCTGGATAAACCGGTGGTGGTCGAATCGAATGGACTATATACCTATGACGTTGTATTTCTGGTGTCCTCCAGACTATTTTAGCATCCAATGACGATGGTGCTTGTTGATGGGGGTGTACAGATTTCTCATAAGCTAAACGTACAGCCTTTGAAATGACAGCATCAGTTAATGGGATAGATGCAGCAGATGAATCAGTCAGTGAGGATTGCCTTCCACCAAGTTTTTCGTAGTCCCAATAGACAACTCTCAACAGACCACGATAAAATGCTTCTCCAGCGCTGATATATTTATTTGTTCCTGGTACAATAACTTCCTTCAACTTTAATTCAAATAATTTACCAGGACTGTCAATCCATACTTCATCTTGTCCACCACGATCATCAGTACGACCATCATCTCTACGACGATCTGTCTCTGTTGTTGTGGCTGGATGCCATGTAACCATTGAATATTCTTTCTCTTCTTCAATCCGTTGGCTTGGATTTATACGAATCACATCTTCATCAGTTAAGTAAACTGGTATATATGTACATTGCTTATCTGTAGTTAGTGCCTGTGATTGGTGTTCATGGAATCGTGTTTGTGCTTGGGCGTCTTTTAATTGTGTTATCGGTAGAACTTGTGGTTGTATTGATGTTGTATGTAGAGGGATAGGGATTGTGGCTTGATTACCGCATGCAGGACAGACATAGGTTTGTTCAAGGCTCAGCATTGATTGTTGTTCATGTGTTGTTTCTGTATAGGTTGTAGTTGTAGTAGTTGTGGTACCGGCTATTCCTTGTTGTTGTTGTTGGCGATGGTGTCCGATAGTCGTTAGTTCTTCTGTGGTTGGAGATAATGGACTGACTGCAGAACCAGTACGTGTTGGTTGATGTACACCACTGCCACTTGCCTTAGCGATGAAGCTATGCCCTCGTTGGATGCGTTTATTTTTATGCGGTGGACGTGTCACAAATGGTATATCACTGGTTGTTTGTGTAGCAACACTTGAAATATTCTTAAGTGAAGTAACTAAGTTACCAGTTGAGGTGAATTGTGTTTTTGCTTCAATTAATCGTGATTTACCGGACTCTGATCTTGCTCGATCAAGAGTAACTGACAGTTCAGGAGTTGTAGTTGACCGACCAATCATTTTAACACGTGATAACAGGTACTGTTGACCCCATAGAGTTAATAAATTTTGGAAGCATATTTCAGCGTCCGTATAAATATCATCATGTTCATGCATATCGTGTAAATCAATATCCTGTAGATGAACTTCTCTTAATGATCTGGCTCCACCACTAGGTCCAGCACCATAAGCTAAACGTGAGTCTAATGAACTTCCTCTATCTTTATAATCCTCAGTGAATAATTCCTCCCGAACATATCGACGATCACCATGTTTATGTATAGTGGTTATCTTTTTAGATGTTTTAGGTAGTTGATCACCAACAGCTATCATCTCTTCATCTAACTGATCCTCTGCTTCATCATCACCTTCATGTTGACCAACATTTAAATTACTTGGTAGGCTGGATGTTAATAAATCAGTATGATCAATAATCTTTCGACTGACTGGTCCACGACGACAATATGATGATAAACCTTTTCTAGCGATTGTGGTTACAACACGTTTAATGTAATAATCATCTTCACCGGCATCACTAAGTGGTAAATCTGTCTGTACACCAGTGCTAATTGATAAATCTAGTGATATTTTATGTTTTAATGTTTCTGTAGTTTGTGTAACACCAGTTAACATAACTGGTGCTGACTGAACACCCCAACTGACAACATCTGGTGATTTTGGTGATCTAGTCTTCGACCTGGTTGATGAAGGTGGGGAGGGTGTTGTTCGTGTTCTTGATGTTGCTGTTCTTGGTGAAGTCGATGGACTAACTCGTGTATTTACTCCAACAGAATGATATTCATGTGAATAATAGCTAGTAGAATCAATGATTGGTGTTCTTCTTGGTTCTTGCTGTACTTGTAGACGTTTCTGATACACTGTATCACTATCTCTAATATGAATGTCACTTTGATGATACGAAGCAGCCGCGGCGATTAATTCATTTCGTCTGCAATCTATCTGACAACATTGTTCTGCTGTTGGTTTTTCTAACTGAACAACTGATGTTGACATTTTTATTTTGTCATCGTGATCGCTATCACGATCATCACTACGATGTTTAAATAATGGTAACCTCTTTAATAAGTAGTCATCTGTAGTAGTCTGTTTAGAATTCTTTTCAATTTCAGGCAAAGTATCCATTTGAAGGATACGTGTAAAATATTGTGATCTTATTGTGGATGTTGCAGTGGCTTGTTTCGTCGGTTTGACTGACTTTTCATCCAAGGTTGGAGAACACTGAACATCTTTATCGTGGGTTATAACCTCACCTCCTTCACCACCTAATTTTGATGGAATCACTTGTAGTTTTTTATTTTTAAATTGTACTTTTGATAACTGATCACGATCAAATGAATCAGTGTACTGAAGTGAAGCATCTTTTAGACTTGAGAAGGATTGACCGTATTGTAATTTTTTATCATATTGTTGCGGTGATATCTTGACCTGACATTCCTGATCGATTTTAATCTTGGGTATAATATGTTGTTGTAACTGTTGCGTGGTAGTAGGAGCAACACTGATATTTGATACCGATGAATGTATCATAACTGTTGGCGGTTTAGGTTTCTTCTCAGTATGTTGTTCTAAACTGATGTCTTTATATTCAGAACTTGGTGTTTGAGTGCTAGATGAAGTGACATGTGTGGATATCGCTGTTGGCGTTCTAGGTGATGGAATAGATATGAGATTGACTTGGAATTTCTTATTCCTTTGATCAGTACGTTGTGCATGGAATAATGACGGCAAATCAGTTGTTGTTTGTACACTAATCGATTGAGAACTGACTGTATGACTTGTTATCGATGTAGGTTTTATAGTCTCAATGACATGTTGGCATGATGAGTCTTTTTGTTGAATAGGCGTAGTTTGTATTGATTTCACTTCAGTATGCTGTGATGTTTGCTCTGTTTGACAATGTGAATCAGTTAAGCTGCTACGAACTTGTAATTTCTTCCCCTTCAATTGAATAGGTTCTTTTTCATGTACGACAGTGGTTTCTTTGGTTTCAGCAACTGGAGTCATAGCAATCGTTTGTGTTCCATCTACAGCATGTAGAACACCAAATTGTGTTTGAACATCATAGGCAGATGACGGTACAGCTACTTGACAAGACATCTCTGCGACTTTCTTCTCGACAGTTTGTACTGATTGTGTACTGATGGGGACAGTATGGATTGTAGATGCTATCGTAGGTAGGACTGCTGGGGTCATCTCTTCTGTTTGAATCTGTGAATCTGTTAAACTACTACGGACTTGTAATTTCTTCCCCTTCAATTGAATAGGTTCTTTTTCATGTACGACAGTGGTTTCTTTGGTTTCAGCAACTGGAGTCATAGCAATCGTTTGTGTTCCATCTACAGCATGTAGAACACCAAATTGTGTTTGAACATCATAGGCAGATGACGGTACAGCTACTTGACAAGACATCTCTGCGACTTTCTTCTCGACAGTTTGTACTGATTGTGTACTGATGGGGACAGTATGGATTGTAGATGCTATCGTAGGTAGGACTGCTGGGGTCATCTCTTCTGTTTGAATCTGTGAATCTGTTAAACTACTACGGACTTGTAATTTCTTCCCCTTCAATTGAATAGGTTCTTTTTCATGTACGACAGTGGTTTCTTTGGTTTCAGCAACTGGAGTCATAGCGATCGTTTGTGTTCCATCTACAGCATGTAGAACACCAAATTGTGTTTGAACATCATAGGCGGTAGGCGTTAGTGTCGCTTGACACCAACCATCCGTTAGCAGACTTTGAATTGTTTGTGTTGATTGTGTCTGGAATGGAACAGTATGCATTGTTGACTTAATTATTGGTTGTGTGCTGACTTGTGGAACATCGACTTGGAAGCCTGAATCAACTAGATTTGTTGAAACTTGTAGCTTCTTGCCTTTCAAAGTGGGCTTCTCAGGAATATGCGTAATACTTTTATCTCTAGTTTCTTCAATCTGTCTTTCATCAGTCACATAATAACTGTCCTGAGTAACATAAACCAATGGGTTATATCTCAGCGTTTGTACTCCTGTATAATCTGTCATAATACCCGATTGAATTTGTACATCATAACTAGGCGTATGGATATAAGCTGGTAGGACAGTTTGCACATTTGAATCTCTTGATAGAATTCCTGACTGTGTTTGTATATCAAATGTTGATGAGGTAACATCCTGTCTGTGTATCGATATGTCTGTTTGTACACCAGCCACTCGAACTACCTTTCCTGATTCTGTTTGCACATCATAGACATGACTTCGGTAAAGAGTAAGAAGAGATTCATCAGTCTGAATACCACTAGTAGAAGTATACCTGCGTGACGGAGCTGTTTCACGCAGACGTTCAACGATACGTGGACTTTCAAAATCATCAGCTATATGAGCAACACTTGCATCTTTGATTTCAGGACGAGACTCTAATTCTCGCATGGTTTGAATCCAGGAGGAACAAGTAGATGGTTGACATTGAACTTCAGCATTAACAGTATAACGTGCAACACCAGGAATCGGCGAAGCTGGTTTCCTGTAAGTGATATTAATATCCTGAGTATCCGAAGGTACACGATATTCAGTAGAAGTCTGTACCGCTTGCGAAACAGAAATAGTACCTGACTGAGTGATGACGTCGAATGTGTTCTTCGTCAACATCATTGGTTCTGCCTTCATCGGTTCAGTTTGTGTGCTGGTGCTACTGACTGATTGACGAATGGCTGCTTGCAGCTTCCTGTTCGTTGATGGAGTCCTCTCTCTATGATGAATGACACTGACGTCTGAAGTGTCGGCGACTGGCCGCACCTCAGGAAGTGTCTGTACTGCCTGTGCTACATAAATAGTTCCCGACTGAGTGACGACGTCGAATGTGTTCTTCGTCAACATCATTGGTTCTGCCTTCATTGGTTCAGTTTGTGTGCTGGTGCTACTGACTGATTGACGAATGGCTGCTTGCAGCTTCCTGTTCGTTGATGGAGTCCTCTCTCTATGATGAATGACACTGACGTCTGAAGTGTCGGCGACTGGCCGCACCTCAGGAAGTGTCTGTACTGCCTGTGCTACATAAATAGTTCCCGACTGAGTGACGACGTCGAATGTGTTCTTCGTCAACATCATTGGTTCTGCCTTCATTGGTTCAGTTTGTGTGCTGGTGCTACTGACTGATTGACGAATGGCTGCTTGCAGCTTCCTGTTCGTTGATGGAGTCCTCTCTCTATGATGAATGACACTGACGTCTGAAGTGTCGGCGACTGGCCGCACCTCAGGAAGTGTCTGTACTGCCTGTGCTACATAAATAGTTCCCGACTGAGTGACGACGTCGAATGTGTTCTTCGTCAACATCATTGGTTCTGCCTTCATTGGTTCAGTTTGTGTGCTGGTGCTACTGACTGATTGACGAATGGCTGCTTGCAGCTTCCTGTTCGTTGATGGAGTCCTCTCTCTATGATGAATGACACTGACGTCTGAAGTGTCGGCGACTGGCCGCACCTCAGGAAGTGTCTGTACTGCCTGTGCTACATAAATAGTTCCCGACTGAGTGACGACGTCGAATGTGTTCTTCGTCAACATCATTGGTTCTGCCTTCATTGGTTCAGTTTGTGTGCTGGTGCTACTGACTGATTGACGAATGGCTGCTTGCAGCTTCCTGTTCGTTGATGGAGTCCTCTCTCTATGATGAATGACACTGACGTCTGAAGTGTCGGCGACTGGCCGCACCTCAGGAAGTGTCTGTACTGCCTGTGCTACATAAATAGTTCCTGATTGAGTGACGACGTCGAAGGTATTCGTTGTGGTCCTCTTGAATTCTGTCTGTACGTGCTGATGTACAACTTGTGGTGCATGTGAAATCGATTGCTGATATGGTTTTATTTCTGGCAGTGTGTAGTCTTCTGTTTGCAGACACTTTTCATCAGAAGGGCAAGTTACTATAGCTTGTAGCTTTTTGTTTGTTAACGGTGTTGCTTGTGGTGCGTGGAGTACACTGAGATCCTTCTTTTCTGCAACAGGAATAGGTGGAGTTTGAGTTGCCGAACTACACCTCACAGATCCTGATTGTGTCTGGACGTCGAATGTCTCTCTACGTATCATGGCGGGAGTGCGCTTCTCTATCATTTCCGCCTGCACGAATGTCTCCTTCAGTGGCATTTGGACTATGGCTTGCAACTTTTTGTTTACCGATTGTCGTTGATCTTCATGAGTAACACTCGCGTCCAACATCGCTGGTGCAGTTTGGGCTTCACCTAGCTTCCTAATCACTCCAGATTGTGTTTGTACATCGAAGATATGTATATCAGTCACGTCGGTTTGTACGTTACGATGTGATGTTGGCCGGGAAATGTCGACTTGAATATCCTTACTAAACGTGACCGTCTTAACGGGTTCATATTGTGTGCAGGATTCCTTGGCATCAACTACTGTTTTAGGCTGAGCAACTGTTTGTGATGCTTGAGTTTTGTGAATGATACCTGATTGTGTTTGCACATCTGAGGTTTTAGACTGAACTGGTTGTTTTTCGTGGAACATTGAAGTATCTGTCTGTGTCATTGTTTCATGGGTTTCTAATGGACGGCGAGATGCTTGTATTATGGGAACATTTGTGACTGGTTGCAATTCGGGTGTTTGTGAACCGACTGTATTTAAGCCAGGTGTAACAACTGCCTGTAACTTTTTATTTACGTTTTTCGTCAACTCGGCTTTATGTTGTACACAACTGTCTTTAACTTCAACTTGACGAGGAATAGTAGTTTGAGCTTCAGCTTCGCGACGCACAACTCCACATTGCGTTTCGACGTTAAATGATTTGCCTAATGGAAGGCCGGCAACTTCCGATTGTACACTAACATCCCTATGTGGAGTCTCTAGATAAACCTGAATATCTCTGTGAGTTACATCGACCGACTTTCTTTCATGATGGACAGATAAGTCTTTCGTTGGAGCGAACACTCCGACTAAGTCGACTTGAACAACTTCACTTTTGGAAAGGGTACCAGATTGCGTAACGACGTCGAATGTGTTCTTCGTCAACATCATTGGTTCTGCCTTCATTGGTTCAGTTTGTGTGCTGGTGCTACTGACTGATTGACGAATGGCTGCTTGCAGCTTCCTGTTCGTTGATGGAGTCCTCTCTCTATGATGAATGACACTGACGTCTGAAGTGTCGGCGACTGGACGCACCTCAGGAAGTGTCTGTACTGCCTGTGCTACATAAATAGTTCCCGACTGAGTGACGACGTCGAATGTGTTCTTCGTCAACATCATTGGTTCTGCCTTCATTGGTTCAGTTTGTGTGCTGGTGCTACTGACTGATTGACGAATGGCTGCTTGCAGCTTCCTGTTCGTTGATGGAGTCCTCTCTCTATGATGAATGACACTGACGTCTGAAGTGTCGGCGACTGGCCGCACCTCAGGAAGTGTCTGTACTGCCTGTGCTACATAAATAGTTCCTGACTGAGTGACGACGTCGAATGTGTTCTTCGTCAACATCATTGGTTCTGCCTTCATTGGTTCAGTTTGTGTGCTGGTGCTACTGACTGATTGACGAATGGCTGCTTGCAGCTTCCTGTTCGTTGATGGAGTCCTCTCTCTATGATGAATGACACTGACGTCTGAAGTGTCGGCGACTGGCCGCACCTCAGGAAGTGTCTGTACTGCCTGTGCTACATAAATAGTTCCCGACTGAGTGACGACGTCGAATGTGTTCTTCGTCAACATCATTGGTTCTGCCTTCATTGGTTCAGTTTGTGTGCTGGTGCTACTGACTGATTGACGAATGGCTGCTTGCAGCTTCCTGTTCGTTGATGGAGTCCTCTCTCTATGATGAATGACACTGACGTCTGAAGTGTCGGCGACTGGCCGCACCTCAGGAAGTGTCTGTACTGCCTGTGCTACATAAATAGTTCCTGATTGAGTGACGACGTCGAAGGTATTCGTTGTGGTCCTCTTGAATTCTGTCTGTACGTGCTGATGTACAACTTGTGGTGCATGTGAAATCGATTGCTGATATGGTTTTATTTCTGGCAGTGTGTAGTCTTCTGTTTGCAGACACTTTTCATCAGAAGGGCAAGTTACTATAGCTTGTAGCTTTTTGTTTGTTAACGGTGTTGCTTGTGGTGCGTGGAGTACACTGAGATCCTTCTTTTCTGCAACAGGAATAGGTGGAGTTTGAGTTGCCGAACTACACCTCACAGATCCTGATTGTGTCTGGACGTCGAATGTCTCTCTACGTATCATGGCGGGAGTGCGCTTCTCTATCATTTCCGCCTGCACGAATGTCTCCTTCAGTGGCATTTGGACTATGGCTTGCAACTTTTTGTTTACCGATTGTCGTTGATCTTCATGAGTAACACTCGCGTCCAACATCGCTGGTGCAGTTTGGGCTTCACCTAGCTTCCTAATCACTCCAGATTGTGTTTGTACATCGAAGATATGTATATCAGTCACGTCGGTTTGTACGTTACGATGTGATGTTGGCCGGGAAATGTCGACTTGAATATCCTTACTAAACGTGACCGTCTTAACGGGTTCATATTGTGTGCAGGATTCCTTGGCATCAACTACTGTTTTAGGCTGAGCAACTGTTTGTGATGCTTGAGTTTTGTGAATGATACCTGATTGTGTTTGCACATCTGATACCTCGGGTGGACGATGGGTTGTTTGCACCATCGGCATGATGACAGGTTGTGGCATCGGGTCGGTTTGAGTACTTATATTGTCGAGACGAGGAATGACTGCAGCTTGCAATTTCTTGTGCACAGTCGGTATACTTTCGAGAGTGTGATACACACTGGCGTCCTTCACCTCCACAACTGGTCGGCGTTCTAGTGGTGTTTGACTCTCTGAATCAACCCTCACCACTCCTGATTGTGTTTGAACATCGAAAGCAGGTGGAGGTCTGTAATCTATCGTTTGTGTTTCGATGTTGGCGGTGGGCGACTGCACGACAGCTTGCAGCTTTTTATGAACTGTCGGCTCTGGACGTTTCTCGTGTTGAGTGCTCAGCTCCTTCATCTCTATGACTGGTCGTTGTTCGATGGGTGTTTGCACCGCTTGAGACTTGAGTATACTTCCGAACTGAGTTTGAACGTCGAAGATTTTAGCCTCGAACGACGTGAATGACTGTTGGTCTCTGACTCTTTTTCCTTCTGTTTGTGTCGGTGCATCCAATAATTGAGGTGGTCGATGTGTAGTTTGCACCATCGGCATGATGACAGGTTGTGGCATCGGGTTGGTTTGAGTACTTATATTGTCGAGACGAGGAATGACTGCAGCTTGCAATTTCTTGTGCACAGTCGGTATACTTTCGAGAGTGTGATACACACTGGCGTCCTTCACCTCCACAACTGGTCGGCGTTCTAGTGGTGTTTGACTCTCTGAATCAACCCTCACCACTCCTGATTGTGTTTGAACATCGAAAGCAGGTGGAGGTCTGTAATCTATCGTTTGTGTTTCGATGTTGGCGGTGAGCGACTGCACGACAGCTTGCAGCTTTTTATGAACTGTCGGCTCTGGACGTTTCTCGTGTTGAGTGCTCAGCTCCTTCATCTCTATGACTGGTCGTTGTTCGATGGGTGTTTGCACCGCTTGAGACTTGAGTATACTTCCGAACTGAGTTTGAACGTCGAAGATTTTAGCCTCGAACGACGTGAATGACTGTTGGTCTCTGACTCTTTTTCCTTCTGTTTGTGTCGGTGCATCCAATAATTGAGGTGGTCGATGTGTAGTTTGCACCATCGGCATGATGACAGGTTGTGGCATCGGGTCGGTTTGAGTACTTATATTGTCGAGACGAGGAATGACTGCAGCTTGCAATTTTTTGTGCACAGTCGGTATACTTTCGAGAGTGTGATACACACTGGCGTCCTTCACCTCCACAACTGGTCGGCGTTCTAGTGGTGTTTGACTCTCTGAATCAACCCTCACCACTCCTGATTGTGTTTGAACATCGAAAGCAGGTGGAGGTCTGTAATCTATCGTTTGTGTTTCGATGTTGGCGGTGAGCGACTGCACGACAGCTTGCAGCTTTTTATGAACTGTCGGCTCTGGACGTTTCTCGTGTTGAGTGCTCAGCTCCTTCATCTCTATGACTGGTCGTTGTTCGATGGGTGTTTGCACCGCTTGAGACTTGAGTATACTTCCGAACTGAGTTTGAACGTCGAAGATTTTAGCCTCGAACGACGTGAATGACTGTTGGTCTCTGACTCTTTTTCCTTCTGTTTGTGTCGGTGCATCCAATAATTGAGGTGGTCGATGTGTAGTTTGCACCATCGGCATGATGACAGGTTGTGGCATCGGGTCGGTTTGAGTACTTATATTGTCGAGACGAGGAATGACTGCAGCTTGCAATTTCTTGTGCACAGTCGGTATACTTTCGAGAGTGTGATACACACTGGCGTCCTTCACCTCCACAACTGGTCGGCGTTCTAGTGGTGTTTGACTCTCTGAATCAACCCTCACCACTCCTGATTGTGTTTGAACATCGAAAGCAGGTGGAGGTCTGTAATCTATCGTTTGTGTTTCGATGTTGGCGGTGAGCGACTGCACGACAGCTTGCAGCTTTTTATGAACTGTCGGCTCTGGACGTTTCTCGTGTTGAGTGCTCAGCTCCTTCATCTCTATGACTGGTCGTTGTTCGATGGGTGTTTGCACCGCTTGAGACTTGAGTATACTTCCGAACTGAGTTTGAACGTCGAAGATTTTAGCCTCGAACGACGTGAATGACTGTTGGTCTCTGACTCTTTTTCCTTCTGTTTGTGTCGGTGCATCCAATAATTGAGGTGGTCGATGTGTAGTTTGCACCATCGGCATGATGACAGGTTGTGGCATCGGGTCGGTTTGAGTACTTATATTGTCGAGACGAGGAATGACTGCAGCTTGCAATTTTTTGTGCACAGTCGGTATACTTTCGAGAGTGTGATACACACTGGCGTCCTTCACCTCCACAACTGGTCGGCGTTCTAGTGGTGTTTGACTCTCTGAATCAACCCTCACCACTCCTGATTGTGTTTGAACATCGAAAGCAGGTGGAGGTCTGTAATCTATCGTTTGTGTTTCGATGTTGGCGGTGGGCGACTGCACGACAGCTTGCAGCTTTTTATGAACTGTCGGCTCTGGACGTTTCTCGTGTTGAGTGCTCAGCTCCTTCATCTCTATGACTGGTCGTTGTTCGATGGGTGTTTGCACCGCTTGTGTTTTAACGACGTATGATGTGAACACCTGTTGATCTTTGACTGCAATTCTTTCTGTTTGTGTTGGTGCGTCGAATGTTTGTGTTGGTCGATGTGTAGTTTGCACCATTGGCATGATCGCCGGCTTTGGTAAAGACTCAGTTTGTATTTTTTCATCAAATTGTTTTATACTAGTCTCGACAATAGCATGTTTCATTACTTTTTGTGGCATATCCATTACATTTTGTATTCCAGTCGATCTTAGGTGAACAGTAGGCTTAGGAATTGTTGGTGTTTGAAATGCTTGTGATTGTTTCATTGTCCCAGATTGCGTTTGTACATCGTACTTGGTATCGCGACTGGCAACAGTTTGTATTTCTGGAATGGTTTGTACTGTTTCACTTTGTACATATTTATCTATAGATTGGATAACTGGTCTCCATTCGACAAATGTTGTCTGTGTATCAATGTTTTGTTTTAATACACCGGTTTGAGTGACTACTTCGTAGGGGATAATTGGTGGTGGAGGTGTTTTCAATAAATCTGATGTTATTGTTGCGTCTTTAGTCATAATACTTTCTGTTTGTATATCCTTATTTGTTGCCATGGGTTTCATATATACTTGTACATGTCTATTTTGCTTTTCTATTATTGGTGGAGCTTGATATGAGCTGACTTCTCGTACAGGTATGGTTGGTCTTGGATCAACACCAACGGATATCATAGGTGAAGTGTCTGTTATTGCTGTCATTGTCTCCTCTGTTCTCATCACAACACCGGTCTGGACTACAACATCCAATTGTGGTCTGATAATGTGCTTTTGAGTTTTTTCTAATATTTGTGTTTTTACTTGCAATTCAGGTTCAATCGTTTGGCATGCTATACTAGCATTCACAACACCACACTGTGTAACTAGATCATAGCATGATACTGAGCGCCTTTCAGGGAATTTTATTAACATGTCAGTTTGAGCGGAGAATGATGATCTTGATCGATCGAAATGACCAGTTGTACTTTGTGTGGCCGTAGGGAATGATTCTTTTTTATGATCACCTACTTGTACACTAAAATCTTGTGAAATACTACCCACCTGACAAATAACATCACTTAACGATCGTGGTATAGGCGCCATTGTTGTAACCTGTTGACCTATTTCCTTAGTTTCTCTAGGGTGAGACAACGGTTGAGTTTCCGTCATTTTCATAAATATTGCTGGTTGTTCTTGTTTGATCAAATCAGCTTGAGTTACTTTTGATGTGTGGACAAGACCTGTTTGTGTAACAACATCATCGCTGACTTTTCTTTCCCATAGCTGGACAGGATTTACACCGGTTTCTCTACATTGAGGCTTGATAGTGGCATATTCAACGGACTGTGTGGATGTTTCATTTCTTAGATGACCAACTTGACAAACAACATCATGCATTGCTTTCGGTGAGAGTTTCGGGACCATATCTACTTGTACTGCGCTGGTATTAACACCGTGTGGAATGCTTTGAGTAGCCACCTGGGATATTCTTCGCCTTTGTGTATCTTCCATTTGGGAACCGGTAGTTTCTGTAACACTTCCTACTTGACAGACAACATCGCTTGTTGGCCTACGCAGTATATGCTGAATGAGGTCAGCTTGTTGACCCGCGTTCATGTTCTCTTTGTATGATGCAATAGGAGCATCTTTTGTTTCTATCGTTTTCACATACACCGGTTGCTCCTCAATCAACTCAGCTTGAGTAACTTTCGACGTATGGACAATGCCTGTCTGAGTAACCACGTCACTACTCACCTTAGCATGTACAGCATGAACCGGATCTATGCCAGCATCTCTACACGGGGGTTTAACAATAGCATATTCAACTGACTGTGTTGATACATCATTTCGAACTTGTCCAACTTGACAGACAACATCATTCATCGATCTCGGTAGGAGTTTCGGTTTCACGTCGGTTTGCACCTCCTTGATATCAATAGCGTGTGGAATGCTTTGAGTAGCCACCTGGGATATTCTTCGCCTTTGTGTATCTTCCATTTGGGAACCGGTAGTTTCTGTAACACTTCCTACTTGACAGACAACATCGCTTGTCGGCCTACGCAGTATATGCTGAATGAGGTCAGCTTGTTGACCCGCGTTCATGTTCTCTTTGTATGATGCAATAGGAGCATCTTTTGTTTCTATCGTTTTCACATACACCGGTTGCTCCTCAATCAACTCAGCTTGAGTAACTTTCGACGTATGGACAATGCCTGTCTGAGTAACCACGTCACTACTCACCTTAGCATGTACAGCATGAACCGGATCTATGCCAGCATCTCTACACGGGGGTTTAACAATAGCATATTCAACTGACTGTGTTGATACATCATTTCGAACTTGTCCAACTTGACAGACAACATCATTCATCGATCTCGGTAGGAGTTTCGGTTTCACGTCGGTTTGCACCTCCTTGATATCAATAGCGTGTGGAATGCTTTGAGTAGCCACCTGGGATATTCTTCGCCTTTGTGTATCTTCCATTTGGGAACCGGTAGTTTCTGTAACACTTCCTACTTGACAGACAACATCGCTTGTCGGCCTACGTAGTATATGCTGAATGAGGTCAGCTTGTTGACCCGCGTTCATGTTCTCTTTGTATGATGCAATAGGAGCATCTTTTGTTTCTATCGTTTTCACATACACCGGTTGCTCTTCAATCAACTCAGCTTGAATTAGCTTCGTGGAGAAGACAATCCCAGTCTGTGTAACGACATCATTATTTGCAGTGATTTGTTTTGTCAGTGGTTGGATTGGATTAACACCGGTATCTCTACAGGCAGGCTTAGAAGGAGCAGCAGCGACGACAATCGGCGCGAGTTGTTGTTGCTCAATCATTGATTGAGTTGACACATCATTTTTAACCTGGCCAACTTGACAAACAACATCATTAATTGTCTTTGAGACAGATTTTGGGCGAGATATAAGATCAGCTTGGTGACAGAAATTTGATCGTGGTATATTATGTTGGTAAGTGACATCATGAAGTATGGGTTTTCCTTCGACCACATCCGCCATGGTTGTTGTTGTTTGCGTTGATGCAGTTCTTTCTATTTTGCCAATTTGACAGGTGATATCACTGATGCTAGTCTTCTTAACTAGATTTGGTTGGATAAATAAATTCGGTGAAGTTTCTGTACTAGCATTCATTGTTATCTTGCCGATTTGACAGATAGCTTCAGTGGTTGATTTCTTATGAACCGGAACAATAGTTGGTTCAACTTGTACACCAAAATGTTTGTTGGGTTTTTCAACTTTTTCTAACTGACTTTGTATACCAATACTTTGTGTGACTTGACCTATTTGACAAATAGCATCTAAGATGTTAAGCTTTTTCGGTGGTTTTTGTTGTGGTTGTTCAATTTTCATCATGGTTTTTTCTTGAATATAATCGCATTGAGCTGAATTATTTTTAGTAATGACACCTGACTGGACTACAGCGTCTAAAGTACACTTTTTAGGTGGTGGTTGTACGACTGGGAGCGGTAGCGGCGTTTCTAGTTGTGGTTTTGGCATTTCCAGTGTTTGACACGATGCATTTGCTGTAATCTGACCTATCTGACATAACACTTCTTTCACAGAACGTTTCTTTGTATGTACTGATGTCGGCAGTGGAAGATAATCATCACCTTGTACGCCTGTATCCGCTCTAGCTATACCAATTTGTGTGATTGCATTTCTCATTGGTTTACGTTCAGGTGGTGGCAATGTAGCTGTCGGTGACGTTGTTGAATAATATTGCCCTTTCATTGGACGTAGTTCTATGTCACCTAAATAGTCTGAACTCTGTGTGCCTTGTGTTCGAGTTGTTACACCAATTTGCGTTATCGCATCAACTACAGCACGTGGTATTGAATCTGAACGTAGTGAACTACCAGAGAAACGCGACTGATCTCTTACAATGGATCGGGTAGGACCAACAACTTGCGGATAATTATCAGATATTGTACTTGATTTGATACTTGAACTTAGTCGTGAATTGGTTATACTGGAGTCGATATTTGGTTCATGTTCGAAGCGGCTACTCCAACGTTTTACCCGACTGATTAATTGATCCAGCTGCGATTGACTTTCATGTTGTAATTGGCTAAATGTGAAAATTGTGAAGATGAAAGATGAAAATTTAACAGTATGAAGAATATACTACTTACTGATTAGTGTGAATTGGTGGGGGAAGCTATGAATCATTCGGTCTAGGCTTTTAACCTTCACCCACTACTTCGCCTACCTACCCACTGAATAGCAATGTAATGTGTTTAACTAAATGTGGAACAGAAGTAGCTGTTTGAGTGAAGTGATCTAATAGAAAAAAGGATGGCGATTTCCAGGTCAATTTTACCTTAACCGTTGACTGATTAATCATGTTGATGTGATATGGTCAGAATCTCTTTTGGCATGTCGGATCGTTCCTAGTGTGGACGCTTTGACGATGTTTAAGGATTCATGTGATGATGAACTAGATAGTGTAATTGCGAAGTGGGTTTCATTGTCTTCCTGCCAGACAACATCACTTCAGAGCTCAAACTTCAAATTAAAAAGTGAGCTTTTAGAATTTGTTCCCCACGAGTTTATGAGCCAGTCATCTCTCCCGATAACCTTGAACATGACTGGTTGTCTCTGGAGTTTATTTCCTCACCCTCTAGTCCACATATGTTGGAAATTATTATTTTGTCGACCTAAAAGTTGACCTTTTGTCCATGTGAACTCTTTTTTATTCATTAGTGAATGTCATTTATGTCAATGTGTCTGTTGACTGATTATTCCTCCGAGTACCAAGGCTTCTAGAAATCTCCTGATATTTTTGATGTTTCCTTTGTCTAAGATTTGCACATTTTCTCAATCGAATTGGCTTTCGTGGTCGTCTGCGTACCTAATATACAAGGGAATGAACATCATGCCTTTTGATGGCTAGTGTACGACGGTGGATACGAGGGTGTGCACTTTCAGGAGTTCTCAATCAACAAGCTTAAAGACGTAAATAAGATTTACCAATTAACCAGTGAAAAAATGAAGTCACTTGAAGATGATTTCAGGTCAGTAAAATGACCAATAAGTAATACCAGTAGACGGAAGGTTGAGAAAATATCCAGAAGTAACCAATCATACTCAAGGTTGTTGCCTACAAGTGTATAGGCATCAGGCCGTGAATGAAGTCTAAGCGGATTATTGTTCGTCACATTAGTCTAATAATTGTACAATGTTAACCGTGATAACTGTTTGTTGTATAAAGGTATTCTAGAAATCGTCAAAATGTGATATCACTTGGCAATAGCTGTTGAGATTCTGACTTGCAATAAACATGCTTAACTTACTCAATTAAAGATAGTTCATTATCAACACGTTTTTGATCAGCATCAATTTCACGTAAATAATTAGTCATATGTGTACCAAGTAGTTCAGATTGTGCACGTAAATGTTCCATTTGACGTTCATGATCTCTCAGTCTTAACAGTGGACTATGCATGCAGACAATATCTTGTTCACGTAGGACAGTTCCACCACGTTGTCGACTAACTAAAATTAGAACAAACAGGAAAATAAAAGAATTATTTATAAAAAATAATACTTGAAAATTATTATTAGTAAATATGTACTTTGACTAAGATGGATTAGACGTACGTATAAAGGTGACATTTAAGTGACATTAATAGTAATAACTGCTTTATTCCAAAAAATAATTATTATACAGAATGGAATTTCCATGCTAGTTGGACTGTCGAGTGAAATCTAATTGGAGAAGAACAGCTTGGACGCTAGTCCAACGGTAAAATGAAGATCATGTAGTGCTAGTGACTGATCTTAGAGCCAGGTGAAAAAATGATAGAAGAGAACTGAATGGAATCAAGATACACAGCTGAACTCTACGCGAAGTGTTTAGAGGTCAATCCTTGATAACTGTTGAGACGATAAAATATTTTAATTACTTATCCGATACTCGAATGTCTAGCCATTTTTTTCGCCACTGATTTCAATTGCAGTCTTCATTTAGAATTCAAAATTTAGATTGAATGGTACAAAAAATGAGCTGGATTTCAAGATTTTTTGTGTAGTGGACGAAATTTAATTCATTTTTGAGTTAGAAAAGAAACAAGGCAAGTTGGCTATTCTAGATTGTAAAATAAAACGAAAACAAGATGGTGGGTAGTCAGATACTAGCATTTATAGAAATTCTACACACTCTAATAAGTCATCAGACTTTCATGCATCCCATGCATTTGGTGAAGATAGGGTTATTTGAATGTCTATAATAATCAGCCAGGAGCTTAACGTGTAGGTCAGAAGATTTAAATGATGAAATCAAACAAATAAAGGAAGTAATATTAGTGAATAACTAAATACCCACCAGAATTTATTCAGAAATGTGTGAAGACCCATTGAAAATGATGAAAATAATATTGGATTCAAAGCTTGTGTAGTACTTCTGTATGAAGAAGGAACGACAGACGCCTTAGATAGGATTCTTAGTGAGGCTGGAATCAGTTAACGTGGCATTTAAATCAACCAACCAGTTCACTCAGAGATAAACGTTATCAGCTAAAGGACCAGATATATCGAGTTAGGAAAAATTGCACATAATTTACCACATACCTTGTAATGACTGTTATTGAGGTCAATTACATTATAGGTCAGACTAGTAGATTGGGGTCGCTTAGATTTTTGGAATGTAAACGTTTAGCTAAATATTTAATTGGTGGATGGTGACTAGCAGAGGAATCCAGGATGCGCATTTCGTCCTATTTGGGACTCGTCATCTGGATGTACCTGCATTTCTCAGTGAGTGATGATGTTCCCACTGAGGCTCGAACCCAGTGCCCATAGTTTCCAACGCCAAAGCGTTGTCCACTAGACCACTTGGGCCACGAGAGCCACCTCTTGTGCAACGGGTCATATTGATTTAATTGAATTTTAGATTTTTCCCGTCGATTGATTGGACCGAAGTGCTCGGTCTCAGTTTAGCTAAATAACCTAGAAAAAAGGTCAGTCGTTGCAGTGCATTCACTTGCATGTAATTACACAACAGGGTGAATGTATTAAACAGTAATATAGTTAGGTGAAGAGGCAGAGAGGCTAGACACTGAATCTTTGTTTATCGATTCAACACCGCACACGTGTATTCAAAATGATGCATATATATATATATATATATATATATATATAAGTCAAACTATGAAGCCGTGCGACTAATTTGATATGATTGTGAGTGGCAATAATTTATGCTCGAGACGTCATCCAGTTATTAACACGGCATTTCTGTGTGATATTTGAAAATAAACTTATCTAATACAGAAGATATGAGGTCACTGTCATTATTGTTGGCTGGTTGTTACATAACCAACTTTATTCAGAAAGATATTTGAAAGGTATGCAAATCATTGATGTTATTCAAGGCACACAACACACAGCCTCACCTATAAATAAGAATAACTGTAAAATAGTCAACATATACTTGTCAGTATGGTCGTCAACTACTGACAACCAAAACTACCGTCTTACTGACTAATTAAATAGGGCAGTCAAATAAGTAGTATGTAAGCATGTATGCAGGTTGAATACTGTCAACCATAGGCTTCATGCAATGTAAATAATAATATTAAAAGTATTATGACCATTGTCATTACTATTGTAGCTATAATTTTTGCTATTATTCTCGTATTCATCTCCATCTATAAATTCCATAATAACAAGCGTAATACAGTTAATACTACTAGTGATAATGGTATTAATAAATACCATACAGTAACTCTGAAGTAGCAAATTCGATTCCATGCATATGCACAGTTCACAGAAGTACTCAGAAAGCTGAAAAGAATTCGAGTGCTGTGTGTTGATGGTACAGCGGTTAGGACTCTCGCTGACCATGCACATGGTCCAGGGTTCGATCCCCTGCCGACGCACACTCGATATCCAATGGTCGGCCTGCTAAATTTGGGCTACCGATATCACTTGCTGAAAATTCCACACTTGTATCAAAACTATGGTGTGGAATCAAGCTATAATAAAAAAAAGGTGACTGGAGCTAACCAACTAACTGACTAACTAAGTAACAAACTAGTTAACTGACTAGCTAGCTAACTAACTAACTGATTTATGGAGAGATCAATTGATTAGTGTATGTGTGAATATTCCATTTATTTACTGTCAACTATGTGGCTGATATATCGCTTATATCAACAATTTTTTACTAGTGTAACTGTTGCCTTTATTACCATTCAGATATATTTATGGTTGTCTTTAGTTTACATTCCATAATGACAGCTGTAATATAGGTACTTCAAGTACTACTACTACTACTAGAAATAATAATACAGACAATGTAATACATTGTAAAGAAACTATTACAAATAAAATAAGTTTATAGGGGCAAGAAGAAAGGTATGTTAGGAATGTGTTGTCATCATGATCGTTATTATTACTATTGTTATTATTATTACCAACCAAAGAAACAGAAGAGATTTCATTCTACCACATATAGAGAACGCCTCTGAAATACCAACTAAAGTACTAATACCATGAAAAGTACATATCAGATACACACAAAGCAAATACAACGATTTCTTATTCAGTATTCATGTAGAGCAAAAGATCCACCATCCAACAGTGAAAGAATGCAAGATTAACACTCACAATCTGCAAGGTAGAGTTATGTATTAAAACTTCTTTTTCAGAAATACAGGTATGTATGAATTCAATCTACACAGACCAAATATTCACCTGCCGCATAGAAGAAACTATATAACCGAACATTATTCAAAAAAGAGCTCGAACACACACTGGAGCAGTTGATTTCTTAGAAGAGGGGAAGAGGAAAAGCGCATTAGCTATTTTCAAGAGAAAAGGATACCCTGACAGTTTCATTAAAGGAAAATGTCTAAACTCAGATGAAACTACCAGCAAGGAAAGATCCTGCAAAACGATAAGAAAATTCATCCTACCACAGATATATTTGAAGAATATTTCTGACACACCAACAAGAATACTAAAACCAATTTGAACAGATACTACACACAAAACACTATCCTTTCATTCAATACTATGAAGACCTAGTGTCACAACAGGAAAAGAAGACAAGATCAACATACCATCCCCAAGATTAATTGCTTATTTAAGAAGCGTTGTTTCAACTGCAGGCAGGGGCACGGACAGGGTGTCAGAGCTAGCCAGCAATTGAGAATCCAGATAGATTTTTTATTAATCCTAAATCACTGTAGAAATCCACAGCATAAAGAAGAAGATTCGCATTGTGCGTTATCAAAAGCATTTCGAACAGACTTTTATTAACAGCTGTCTGCTCTGACAGGATACTGGAGATCAGATGGATGGTTGACTACAAAGGATAAGCAGACCATAGGGAAATCTACCAACGAACAGCCTACTGCCTAAAAAATACACCGAAGGAAATGTAGATGGATTGAACATACGCTGACGGGACCGTTGGGTAACATTGTACTCCAGTCAGCTGCTGTAACGCAACCCGAAAAGGGAGTGTCGTGTTAAGCGTGCATCTCAGAGCGACGTAGAGGAAATCATGTAAGAAGGAGAAGACAGCTTTCGGGTAATCCTGGAGCCAGCTACAGAAGGCTGCAGGGAAATGAATGAAATGGATATGTGTCTCGGCTGAAGCTCAATATTCCATGCGGAACACGAAGGAATTACAATATTAACGTAAAAACAATTAATATAGAATCAGGCTGAACAGCCATATTTAATCAACTCTGTCTCATCAGAGATACGGTCATATCACTCATGGAGAAAAAATTCAAATAAGTTCACACTCCATGCACTGAAGTCACCGCTGAAGATGTCTAGAAAGATAAGCTTTGCAGTTAGGCCACCAATATCCAGTTGTTCAGACAACAGCTGGATTACATGGAAAAGCAAAAACGACAATCATCATAGTCAACACTTACTATCTGCCATTTTCAGTCTATCCGTAAATGCATATATTGCTTGACCTAATTCACTTGTTCTGTTATTATCATTTGGTAGAAGAAGATGACTGCGTAAATCTTCAAGGAAATTATCCATTGCGGTCTTATTGTTATAATAAATATCCTGGAAAGAAAAAACACAACAACTAGAAAAAAGAAAAGTGTATTCACTGTCATGTAAGAGTAATGTAACAGTTTGGGAACCATGTATACGTACTATAGAATAAATAATTTCCATATTAGTCCAGGGAGCACTGGACGGGTATGTTGTCCGCCTAGTTTTGAACAGAAATGGTCACTGAATTATAGCCCAGATGCCTGAAATGGTCAATGAGTTTTGCGTCATCGCCTGAAAGTGTTGGATAGTTTGATCCCTGATGGGGTCGTGTTTATGCATTGCTGAAGAGCCCCGGACCAGAAGTACGAAACAACTGTCCATATATGTATATATATATAATGTTGCGGCAAAGAATGTTTTAGCTATTATTTTCCGAAGTCTCAATGCCAGAAATTGCCTTTAAAATTCGCCACTCGTTGTATAATTCCAACGCAGGTGAAGGATAAGTTACCAAGTCTGGCCACTTCCATGTGCATTTATAAATTTAAGTCTTTATGTGAAGACAGTTATATAGGTAGAACGACACGACAAGCCCACCGTCGCCTTCTGTAGCATTGTCTAATATAGTTTGCTAGAGGAATCGTAAAGTCATTGAGATGTTCCATACTGCCACACTTTGTGGATACGTAGCACAAGACTGACAAAAAGTCACCTTTTCTATACAAGATGCCACCTCAGCTACCTACATTGGTACATCTTCGGTTGCTAAGCATAGCTGAGGCAGTTGCCGTAATGATTTTCCAACACAATTTCGGTGTCCAGAAAATGTTTGTTAAATCTCTCTCTCCCGTGGCCTTCACCCCCGCCCCACCTAAAATAGTTATCTCTCCTGGTGACACCGGATAACTGTAAATATTATCGTATTATATTTTTATTTTATTTAGTTTGTAATGCTAAGTGTATTATCAATATCATGCTGTGCTGCAGTTGTACATTTTATTCTCTGTTTCACAATTTATTATTATTATTACTATATTATCTAATCGCTATGTGACAATAGTTATTTTCCCCTCTAACCCCACTAGTATTCTAACTATACACTCACCGTTGCCTAGATTATATAAACACTTGCATGAATTTATCCTTATTATTATTACAATCACCTCGATTGTTATTCATTAATTCATAGCTCTAATCCTACATGTTTTATTAACTACATTGTACAAAAATGAACAGCTTTCTATTCGGAGTCAGTAAATAGTCTTTGTCTAATGGTTTTAAACTAAATCTTTCTAAATATGACAATGTTAATTTCACTTTCCGATGTAAAAGAAAGTTATATGAAGTTGTTAATTCCTATGACCGTAGTAAAATTGATGATACTGATATAGAAATCAAGTGTGATGTTAAGTATCTTGGATTAATTCTTTCTTCTCACCTATCCTGGTCTTCCCATGTCTTAGCGATTTCTTAAGAAGTATTCCATCTGACTTTTTACATTAAGAAGTTAAGGCACTCAGGCATAACTCAACCCCTCCTCATACAGTTTGTCAGCTCTTGCTTCTTACCCAATTTTCTTTTTTATTCGGCCTTATTTTTTCCTGGGTTGCTTAAAAAAGACTGTATCATACTTTGTAGAACTCTGAAGACTGTCAGTAGGGCGAGTGGTATCCCATTGGGCCATATCGTTGACATCGTCATTGACAGGTACTTGATTTCATGCAACAAATTTGCTAAAGGAATTTTGTCAGACTGTAAGCATCCACTTTACCCACAGCTTTCAGCTTGCCTCTCCTCAGGTAAAACAAGAAGTCATTTCAAAAGACTTTATGCACGCATATCTAAGTATACAAATTCCACTATACCATATTTGGCACGTGGTGAAAATAATGTCAGGCATGAGCTAACTAACCTTCTTCCCACTTTTAAATAAATACATGGGTAGTTACTGGTGCTTAAAGTTTTATATATATATATATATATAATGTTGATGAAGTTGCAGAATAGTAAAAAATTAGCGGCATAACTTACCCCATTTTCAGCCATTTGATTTAATAGACAACTATAGTACGATCTTAATCGTTCACGTGAACGCTCCACTAATAAATCCCATGATTCAATACATTTTTCACGAAGTCTAAAATGTTAATTAGTAATAATAACAGACATTGTAGCATTTGTGAAAAATTGTAAAATATAACTTGGTTTTATTCAAATATACAAGAAATCTACGATATATTTGAATACATTATTTACAACCGTCTATATTGGTTACTCTTTTAGATATAATATGTCAGTGGTCAGTATTACATTTTTGTAAATGCGTATTTCAGCGGAACCTAAGGCTACACCAACACAACTGCACTGTACAGTGTTCTCTGTTGTCTTTTATATTTGACTGCATGATTACCCGTAAGCTTTATTTTTGTCTTCGCCACATAATCTTCTCCATATCACCTTCGGACTCACGCCCAACTCGTTGCTCACTCCTCATTAGAGTTCCATTCAGCGGTCTGAACGACACGGGATGCCACGTGATATTCTATTAAGTGTATGTCTCATCCATCTCCTTGTGCATATTTGCTGAAAAATAGGTTGCTAATCTGTCCATTGTTGCGTGATTTTCTTTTCTGACTGGCCATCCAATCTTCAGTATCGAGGAAGCGAAGATAATTAGCTTTTTATAAAAGGCCTTATAAGCCAGCTGGAAATACCTTTGGCGACGCATCTGTCAAGTCTCTAAACCATTTAGAAGCAGTGACTGTCTTGAAATTGGTATTGAAAATTCGGATCTTGTTCCACATGATTTCCACTTGGACTACATCGACTCCTAGCCTAAAAATAGGCAGAAGTGAAGTGGTAGAGTGTGTAAGCCATCACTTCACTTATTTGGGAAGTTACATCAGCCCCAATGGGCTGATACAAAAGACTGGTGTGGCAATAGGCAACCTATATCACCTCTGGCGTAGAACTGAATGATATGCGGTTATTGATCAAATAACGTGTGAATCGCACAGAGGCAGACGTCCCCTCTGTCCTTTTTGGTGGCTGTAAGACATGGTCATAGAAAGTGGAAACCGTGAAAAGCGTGGCTAGCTGACTTTGATCATAGGCGTTTAATATTTATTATTATTCCCTTGCGTTCCCAGTGGAACACAGTGCTTCAACAACACATCTCCACTTTTTTATATTTTCTGCCGTCCTCTCCAGCTGGGTCCACGACTGTCCCTAATCTCTCATCTCCTCCTCACACAATCTCCTCCATGTCACCCTCGCACCAACGACCCACTCGACGCTTCCAATTCGGACTCCACTTGAGGGCCTGGGGCGCGATGTCATTCGACGGCCTCCTCAACGAATGCCCATTTTCTCCTAAGTACTTTTTGAGAGATCGGCTCTTGTTTGGTTTGCTCCCACAGTTTCTTGTTACTATTTCTTTCTGGCCATTTGATCTCCAATATGAAGCAAGCGAAGACAGCTTTTGATAGAAGTCTGCAAACTTTTGGAAATCCTTTTCGTGATACACTGGCCAAGTTTCTGGCCCGTATAGAAGGACCTACTTGACATTGTTGTTGAAAATCCGAATCTTGTTCCTTATGCTGAGTGCAGAAGATTTCCAAACCGGAGACGTATCTTGCCTTTCGGATTCTGGCTGAATTTGACATCTTCATCCGTCCTGGCTATGGTTGGAACTATGCTTTCTAGCCGCATAAGTGAAGGAAGTAACCTCTGTCATCCTCTCCCGTTGATAGTGATTGGCGCTGGTTGTTGTTGTTGAGTTTCGTTGGTTATCTTCATCACCTCCATCTTCCCTATGTTCACCTGGAGTCCTGTCTTCGCTGACAGCCAGCCTCTTCAGCCAGTTTGCTGGTTTTCATCTGCAAATCTTCAAGTTTGTGTGACATTAGACATATACCATCTGCGAAATCCAGATCTTCTAGAGTCTTCTTATCGGTGGTCAAGCGTAATACTTTCTTTTCACTCCTTGTGCTCAGTCTGAAGCATAATCCAGTCCATCACGATTCAGAATATCATCAGTGATAATAGGCAGCCAGCTTTTCTCACTCCTGCATTCCCTTCAAATGTCTCGCTGAGTTTCCCGTTGTGGATCACCTGATACGTGGCACTTTCACATTGCTCCTGAATGAGGTTGATAAAGACTTGAGGCCCTCCGTCTTTATAACATAGTGAGTAATATTGAAGTGACGCGTTGAGTGTTAGGTAAAGAGGGAAAATCTATCGATGAGATTGTGAAGCAGATGCATAGATTAAGATGGTTAGGACATGTGTTATGCATGGACACCAAAACATCGCCCTCCTGGAAGGGAAATGCTAGGATTATTTTGGAAAAGAGTCAGTAGTGGCGAAACAAAAACATGGAAGCAGTCCATTAAGTTTTCAGCAGTTAGTTTTAGTCACGTAGCTAGGTACAGACTTGCTGGCTGGTAGGGGTTCTCGAGATGGTAAAAACCACTGAAGGCTGGAGACAATTGTTCATATGGCTCGAAATCGTTCTGAATGGAGCAAATGCATTCATTCTTTGAGATCCACCATTCCCAAAAATCCTATTGTTTTCCTATTCTTTCTCCCTCATGTTCCTTCTTCTTATCGTTCTTCCGAGTCTCTTTCTCCTCTTTTGTTTTCCTTTGTGTGCTTCATGTAGTGTGCCAAGTTGAGCTGGCCCAAAGTTGTGTGTTGAAAATAGGCAGTCAGATTTCTATACTGATTTAGGAGGAATGAAGGTCTGACGTGCTTTTCCCATCTTGACCGGCTTTGACATCCTCATCTGCCTTGCATATAAATGAAATGATGCCACCTAGTTAAGTGAAAGAGTTGACTTCCTTTAAATTGCCCAGATTAACGCTTATTGCTGCTGTTGGTTGTTATGTATCCTAATCATCTCTGTCTTCTCTAAGTTTAAATCAAGTTCAACTTGTTGGTTTTCGCCTATAGATATTCCATATTTTATGAAATTAGACACAAATCATTCTTGAAGTCCAAATTTTCTAGTGTCTTCTCGTCGGTCCAAAATAGGCCTATCTTCTAGTCTGTTGTATGATCCAATCAACTACAATGCGAACTGTCATCGGCGATAGTAGGCAGACTTGTCTTACACTCCTGTCTTTACTATATAGTCTTCAATGAGCCTTTCCTTGTGAATCGCTTGGCATATGGTACTGTCATATAGCTGCTGAATGAGGTTTGTGGGACTGTAGTTTGTAATGTCAAATTTTTCAAATTGCTTCATGGTTGATGCTATCAAAGGCATTTACTAATCTGTCTCGAGTCCAAGGAAAATGAGAAATTGAGCAATACCATTCTGTAAAAAAGGGATCCACTCTCATCTTCATTGAGACTTCACCACAGATAATAAAATCAAAAATTAAAAAGTGAAATGCTTACATTACAGCACGTTTTACAGCCTCTAAATCAGGATCGCTGATCCATAAGCATACTGAAGGGATTTTAACTATCCCATTATTCGTCTGTACTGTCCAAAAGTGTTGGTCATCACGATTTGAAATAAGACGAACTTCTTCACCTTCCTTCAACTCATAATTCGGTCCCGTTAATGAGGTTAACATACGTGCCATCACCGGACTCGGGGTTTCAGTATTTGCACTCACTCCGTCGACAATACCGCCTAATCGGAGATGGATTGGTACAATACGACGACTTTCTTCTAATAGATTTCCTGATCTACCCCATAAGTGTATCATATGATTCAAATGTTCCTATAAGAATTATGAAAAAGACAATTTAAACGACAAATTACAAAAAAGATCAACTAATGCGTCAGTAGTATATGACATTCTGATATAAATAAATAAGTGTAAAATGGATTATTTTTGAATGGCTCCAAGAACTAAGTCATCAATTGGGGATAAAAGTAGTTTCAGTTTGTAGATCTCTTCATGAAACAACAGCATCAGTTAGGAAACATCGGTAACCACCAGGGATCACTAGACATCTGATTATTACCCCTGGTTCTGGGACTGACTTTTCAGCAGTACACGCCTACGACCTCACCACGAAACGAAAGAGCCAAGATATTCAGATTATGAGGACAAGCTCAATGATCATTTAGTCACGTTTCGACTAGAAATCAATGACCCATGAATTCTAACTTATTCAGTAGTTCATGAAATGTATAAATTCTAAAGGGGTGTGGAGATGACAAGACTAGCAGGCAATTACAATATCAAACAACAAGGTGACGGTTATAATAAGAAAAAGATTGAAAAGAATTTATATTGAATTGAATAAATAAGGGTGACAAGTTGGATAATGCCGAAAGTTTTAAAATAAAAGAAGGACAAACAAATTGAATACTGTTCAATAACCTGAATTACAAAATCCCTAAGTTAACTAACTCTATGCGCGTTTGTTAGTTCACTTGCTTTTCTGCAGCTAGGTATATCTGTTGTAAGAGGCAGTTTTTTGTCGAAGAGGGCAAAAATGCTACCCGGTGTGAATACGAATAGGTGTAAATGGGGTTATGAGAAACGTAGTCAATGAACATCTAGTCAATATGATGGAGAAGATTTTTAGCTCAAGTGGATGATTTTGATGTGGTTGGATAGTTAATTTCCGAAGCTTTCATCGCCTTACTAGGCAACATCTTCAGACCATACTTCAATTTGAAGTGAGCTTTTAGATTTCTCTACGAGTTTATTAGTCATCTCTCCTGGTGACCCTGGACGTGATTGGCTGTTTTTGTGTGTTTTCACACTCTCTAGGCTACTTCTATTGGAACTGATTGTTTCTTTGATTTGAACTTTGACCCTTTCTGTGTGAGATTTTCTTCTTATCGGTTGGTAAATTTTGTCTATCTCGATATGTCTATTGATTGATGATTCACTGGAATATCAGGCAGGCTTCTAAAAATTCTCTAGAATTCTTGGTGATTCCTCTGTCTAATATTTTAACGTTATCTCAGTCGAATTGATATCCGTGGTTGTCTGTATGTAGTGATATGATGGGGTGGATGTCATGTCTTTTGACGGCTAGCTTATGTTCATGGATAAGAAGACGAAGGGGACGTCAACTTTGGCTAATGTAGTGTTTTTCTCAGTTGTTACAATTTATTTTGTAGATGACGCTGGTTTTATCTTCTTTTGTTGTTGAGTCTTTTGGTTGACATAAAACTTAATGAAGTGATTTTGTTGGTTTGTGTCAATTCCTAAAGGTTTGAAGAGTCTTGCAGTGATTTTTGAGATATCCTTCATATATGGTAGGGCGATTTTCTTTGTGCTTTCCTTGGGGGGCCTTTGATTTGATAAGTTGGCTTGGGGGTACATATCTATTGATGAAATGCCGTGGATATCCATTCTTTTGGAAGACGTTCATGAGATATCTTTCTCCAATTTTCCTTAAGGTGGGATTGCTGCAATGAGTCCTGGCCCTCTTGAATAGTGTTTGTATACAATTCCTTTTGTCTCTTATTGGATTTTTGCTGTTGCAATTCAGTATTTGGTCTGTGTGCGTTGATTTTCTATAAACTTGAGTTTCTAATTCCCCTGTGGTTTTTCACTTGACTAAGACGTCCAAAAATGGGATTTTGTTCTCGGATTCCTCTTCTATTGTGAATTTGATGTCGTTGAAGACGTTGTTTATCAAGTTGTGAGTTTTATCTAACTCGTTCTTTAAGTCTATTACAAATGTGTCGTCTACGTAACGTATCCGAATTTTGGGTTTGATCTTTGTTAGGATTATGTTTTCGAGCTTTTGCATCACTGCTTCTGCAATCAAACCTGATATTGGCGATCCCATGGGTGTTCCTTTGACTTGTTCATATATTTGGCCGTTGAATTAGAAGTACGTTGTCAGGCATAGGTTTATGCATTCCATCCAACTTGTGTTGCATTTTTGATTGTTGTGGGAGGTGTTCGTCGTTGTTGAGTAATTGCTGCATGGTCTCTTTTGCTAGTTTTTATCCAATTGAGGTATATAATGCTGCGACGTCGAAGGATATCAATATTTCTTGGTCATCTATTTGGATGCCTGTGGTTTTCAATAGAAATTGGATAGCAGAATTGATGGATTGATCACAAGATTCCGTTAGGTGTTTCAATTTTCGGTATAATTCTTTGGACAAATTGAATGTTGGAGTTCATGGGAGTGATACAGTTGGTCGTAACGGGATATTTGGCTTGTGTATTTTGGGTTTGCCGTAGAATCAAGAAAGGACTAGTCCATTGGATTTCATTCGCCATTGGTCTTGTTTTGTGATCTGACCAGTTTTGGTGAGCTTGTTCAACGTTCTTTGGATGCGGTTGTTTAATGTTTGTATGGGATTTTTTGGGAGTTGTTGATATACATCTTCGTTTTTGAGTAGTTCTTCAACTTTTTTGGTGTATTCTTCTCTGTCTATGACTACTCTTGTTCTTCCTTTGTCGGCTGGTAGAATGACGATGTCCTGCCTATTTTTCAGCTTCTTGATGGCCTTTATTTCTTGAGAGATGAGTTGTGTGTTGTTTTTCTGTTTGATCATTGGTACGATTGTTTGGCGTATCTCTGTGTATCCTCGTTCAAGTTTGATGATTTGAGTAATGATTCAAAGGCAGAGAAGAAATCAGTTTTTGAAGCGTCTCCAGTGTTGCAGTTTAATCCTTTTTGTAATAGTTGTTGTTCTATTTTTGATAGGATCAACAAATAATAGGTGCCCAAAAAGAAAGACTAGAGAAACCCTTAACCAGAAACACCTATCAACACTGATCATCGCAATTACATTGTAAAGTAAAAGACACAGACAACAAAGACGGAGAGTTCTCAAAACCAAGCTAGCCAAGTTAGAAAAAATCAACCAGACAATGCACCTATTGACTGCGTAGTCAATCTATCAATCAATCCAGAAGGTTAGCGTTCTCGATTGTCCAATCAAATTAATTATTTTTGTTGGCTTAAATTTCCAAGGATTCTAGATGTTTACAGATATAATGTATTTTTGTCTACTTATATGAATTGTTCTTATCACCGCTGAGCAGTCTGTTTTCTATCTTCATTTACGTGAGTCTTACGGGGTTGGAAGTTACAAGTAAATGCTTATCAGTAAATGGCATTCGGTTTTCAGTCAAAAGTTGCATGTTTGCACTGATACCAAAGCACTAGATAGGTGTATTTTTTTTACTTTGAATGATCGCTGAGTTTGGCAAAATAGGACAGTTTTTATGGAACATTAAAGTAGAATTCTTATTAAATAGTTTTTCATTTTGTACGGAACTACTCGTGAGTAACATAACGGTATTACAAAAGAAAGTTGAATAATGTTGTTGATTTAATTTGAGAATTATTCGGGTAATGGTAGTGATCAGAAATATGGAACTCAGTATGTATATTGCGTCGTATTCCGGGACTAATCAGATATATAGATGTATGTATATCCCCAAAATCAGAAGGAATGAACACCGTAGAGCATCTGTTCGACCACCGAGAAATCCGATTGAACTAGAAAAGCTTGAAAAATCGTCTACACGCTATAGAATCAGGCCACAAAATTGATTTTGACAATATTGAAATAATTCAGAAAAACTTCAGAAATCACAAAGAACGTCTAGTATCAGAAGCACTTCATATCATCAGTGGAATCCAAATTGTCTGAATAGGAATGATGGACTAAAACAGAATTTGACCTGGTTACAACACCCCGGTCCCCCATGAAGTGACAAAATCAACACGAATGTGATAAGCAACATCACTATATAAACACACGCTGTTTTATAATTTTACACAATTTTGAAATCCAACAGTCTACACTTGGTTTTGTTATCTTTACCAATTGGCCAATTTGACAACGAAAAATGACTCCATACTGACGAACGATGATCAAGTTAGTAAACTTTGTTTTGATACCATAGCAGATGTACTATTACCTTTGTTATTTAGTTTAGTGATCTTCATTGTTATTTTGACTTTCATATGTCCTTTTAACTTGACCTAAGTCCATTTTCTCACCTCTTAACTCTTTGTTATATATGCGCTGAGATTTTGTAAACTCTGGTTTAAAAATACTTTGATAAAGCTATTAGCATTGAAAATGTGATAAGATTATGGGATGATAAGAGAGGGGTTGAAAATATAAGTGAGGGGTGGTGGAGAAGTCATGATTGTATTAATAGGACAAGGGAGGGATAATGGCTGTACGAACTTTTTTGAATACATAGTTTAGGTTTAATAGTTCGAATGCCCGTCGCCTCAGTTGTGTGCAATAGACGAATACGATGTCTATTGGAAAGATTCCGTAACTCTTATTTGCAACAAATGCAGTTGTCATAGTAGTGAATATTATTAATTAAAACATAAGATGACTTTAGTAACAAAGTATGTTAGAGTTACGCAATGAGATAAGTGATGTGAATGAGTTGCAATCAAGGTTGCACAGAGAAAGGAGGGAAAGATGACATATTACATAAGAGTTTGCAAGAAATACAAGAGTTAAAAAAACCAGGTTGTTAGGAATTAACGTGGTTGTTACGATGATTGTAAAAGTGGTTGAATAATTCTCTTTTGTAGACATTCACAGCTCTGGTTTCTCTATCTGAATGACTAGAGCTTCGGTAATGTGCAGAGGTGACGGAAGCTTATTTTCTTCGCAGGTTATCCTCCACTTTGTAGATAGATTACTCTGAAACGAGGATTTCGTTGAAATAGGATGGTCAGTTGCTACCTTTCTTCAGTCATGCTAGATATTGTTTTTGAAACCTTTTTTCAGACAGGATATGCGTCGGATGATCAATATACTTGGCTTTACAGGAATTGGTGAACAGATATATACACATAGAAGTAATTAGATGCGAGATATTATTCTTCAGGCTTCTGCAGACCAGCGGACGACTGGAGAACGCTACTTGTTGCGAAGAATGTTCTTCTCAAGAATGGTGAAATTCTTTTCTTAAGCATATCACAAGTTAAGTCTCCTATGAAATCAAGGTTCATATAAAGGTTTCTTTCTTGGTACAAGTAATGTTTCGTTCTTCTGAACTTTTAGTCTGATATTCTTGTCAGTGAATCTCAGCAGTTATCTCGATTCAGACCTTAGCTGTGCACGCATAAAAAAGGAAATTATTCAACCACTTCTGCTATAACGGAAACTACTATGTTGTTTCCTACCAACTTGATTTTTGTGTATTTGTGTATTAACTCTTTATAACTCACATTTTCCCTCGTTTCTATGTGCATCTTGATTACAGGTCATTCCTATGAAATTATTTGTCTTATTAAGAAATTATAACGTCCTTCCTTATTCAACTCCTCCGCTTGAGCATTGATTAATAATATTAACAACTATGATTATTGCAATAACTTATCATTTTTGTTACTATCATTTTTTGTGGAGAAAAATAATTTGTATATAAATGCGATTATCTAGCTAAAGAGAAAAGAATGAATTCACAGTGGAAATTGACTCTTCGGATGGACTTTTACATATCCTTGAATTTTGAACATGAATCAAACAAAATGAAAAATCCGCAATAGAAACAAAACCAAAATAAAACTTACTCTAAATTCATTGGCTAGTATTGTACAATTCTTCAAGGTAGCCGGGACATGTCGTTGATTTCTAACATCTGTCATTCGAACACGTGCTTTGAGACTTGCCTCCACCTCACTGATTGCATGATGAAACTAAAATGAGATTTAAAATAACAATAACGACCTTGTAAGCCAAGAAATAAATTGAATTATTTTTGAAAGATAGAGACTAAATATCGTCTCATTCGTGAAACTTATAATCCATTAGGACAGAGAAGCATTTTCGGTTAGTTACAAAGTTGTAATTTATGTTCATATACTTGTCTAATTATGGCTTAATTTTCTTAGGGACTGATTTCGATGTTATACGGCAAATCGGATTTATTTATTGATTTGTCGCTTAATTTTCTGAGGTTTTGGCAAATATAATATACAGTGTATTTGGTCTCATAAGAGTTGTTGTCATTCTGGTCATGGCATTTTGTCCCACTTTGACTTTTGTGTTTGAGTATCTTAGTGTGGAAGAGATAATTTCAAGTGGTCAGTTGGTGATGCATTCATATTCGGGTCAAGCTAGACGACCCCTGCAACCCAATATCACTCCGTCAAAACACTAATTTGGTCTGGCTTATAATTATCGAAAAAGTACGACCCATAAGCCTGAACTTCACACATTCCATATTATTAAAACAAATTGCATGTGCGTATATACGTGGAGACATACACATGGAGGAGTAATCGAGTGATTGAATCCAAAAATATTGGAAACGCTTGGGTGGCAGCAGACTACCAACTTCGTCTATGTAACAAAATACACTCATTTAGTATGAGTCTCAGAGGTTTATTGATTTCAAAACAGCTTTCAAGATTTTCTGTAAATACCGTCATGGATGCAGGCCAAAATACGTTGGGGCGGTTACCCTCCTTTCAAACCATCAAGGGCTACTGGATAGCGTCCCAGTGGTTGAATGGTCTATAAGCTCGCCTTGTAGCCGGAAAGTCCTGGGTTCGAACCACACGGGATGCGTGCTGCTGAAGAGTCAGAAACAAGGGAGAAGGGACAGCTGTCTAGTACTTCCAAGTGGTTTCCAATGGTTCCCTAGCTGATATCAGCTCGTCGTCAAATCCGTCACTTAGTTTACTTACCGACAGTAGGGTTGGGATAAAAAAGGGAAAGGTCATGGGGTGTGAGGCTATCAACGTCACCCTATAAACGAAAATACTAACATCAATACTGAAACTTCAAAACTTATATTGCGAAACTTTATCTTCCATCCGAAACTCAAGGAGTGCAAAAGAGATCATTAGAAGCACGTAATAGACAGTCAACTTCTAGACATGGGAATAGAATTCGAACACTGCGATAGAGTATAATTCCATTATACAATAATTTTATTTGCTGCAATATCACACACATATATACTCACTCAAACAGTCGGCTCATTGATACCGAATTACTGATATAGGAATAGAACTGGAGCACTGTAGTATTTCATTTTACAAATGAAACGACTGTGTGAATTAATTTGCAAGCTGAGAATTTGATTTAAAATTATGCTGTAATAAAACTGTTCTGGACAATATTAGTAGTAATAGTAGTAGTAGCAGTAGTAGCCTGCTTAAAAAGTGGGCTACCGAAAACCTCCATCAATATATTGCATATCATTTCTATTATTCGGTTTGTTTGAATCTAGTAAAGTATGACCTCTGGCAGTATTTTATACTCTGGCGAGTATTTAAAACATTTACAACCCGCTGATTAGTAATTTTCTACTAAACATGTGAATGAGCATTATCCTCAGTGGCAACTTATCGTATTACATGAGATGGACGTTTCTGAGTGATCTCGTCTTTGCTTTTATAAATGGCATTCAACAAAGTTAAAACAATTAGTCCCTTTGATAAATTTGAATAAGGCATGAAGAAGACAAATTTTACGAGATGATATCATTTCGTAGTTTCTTTACAACCGCTTTACAACTAACATGGTTAACAATAATAAAACAAAGTGTCATCATGTAGAGATATCTTAATGGATTTGTCTGTGCTTCAGAAGAGATAGAACCGCGTCACACAATCTGTTGTCAGTTAAGCTCTTATTTGAATATCCTGGACGAAGAGAAAATATCCTATTAAAAAAATCCGCTAAAAATTCTCTACATCATATAAACATTGTTCAGCATAAAGCTATCATTATTATTAGTAGTATAAGTAGTCTTAGGAGTAGTAGTAGTAGTGTAATTATCAGTCAGCAAACAAGTACTCAGTGAAATGAAATACTAAAAAAACATTTCCTTTTAAGGTGTTTTAAAAGTCGTATTTTGTGAAACAAACGTTTGTGAATAAAGAAAGAAAATATAAATATATATTTGTATCACATTTGCACTTTATATATAAATAAATAAATAAATATCTTCAAATGACCTCAAAGATATGTCGACATCAACTTTATTTTATTATTTTTCGATATTTTCAACGATAAAAAAATAAAATACAGAAAGAAAATAGACGATTTTTTTGTTGAATCAGCTTTCTATACTGCTGTGTTCCACTCACTTAGAAAATGCAGACGCCTACTCAAGAGCCACGCTCACACACACAAACACAATAACAAACAAACAAAGAAGAGAACAGATAATTTATTGTTTTGTTTTTGTGGTTTGAAATCTTCATCATTCAATCGACTCACTAGCACTAATACTACTACTTATACTATTATTATTGATATTATTCTTTTATGCTAGTCGTCCTTATTGGTTCTTCATTTGTTTCATTGTTCACCCTTAAATATATTTTCATCATCTTTTTACTACTACTACTACTACTATTATTATATACTTAATTTATAAATAATGTTCTGATCTCAACAGTTTAAAAGTTCTGATAAGTGGATGTGAGCTGGAGATGTGTAAACTTGTTCAGAATGAATACATAAATATATATTGATAAGAAAGATAGTTGGTTACTGGCGCATGCATTCACCCGCTGGGGATGTAGGTGCATCCATCCAGCTGACGAGTTGAAGAATATTAGGAAATGCAAGCACTTCACTATATTTCGATTTATGCAATACAGCAGACTTAATCGCGGATGATATTGCTTGCCAGTGGTGCTCTATATATAGCTCGAATTGAGAGAGGTTAGAATTCATGCGATGAACGTTGGATGCGTCTGCGCTACCGACAATGATTTTGAGCCATATTATCTCCAACAGTCTGCTACCATTGGTTCTTTACATCCCGAGGATCTCAACCAGGCAGACAGTCTAAAACCCGTTCGTACCCCACCCCTACGTGTCTAGCTTAAACCAACTGTCGAAGACTTGTTGAATTATTACCGTGTTCTAAATGACTAGGCCTAGCTGTTTTCCAACCTGATCAGATTAAAGCGCGCATCAAGGAAGGCGATGGCCTGGCATGTGCAACACATTTCACAGACGTCTCAGTTGATGTCCTTTTACAACAACATCTGTTGACTTACCTTCTTCTTTACCTGACCCTCTACGCACAACCTCAGTATTACTCACTATATATAACCACATATATTATTGATTGGGGGTGGAGTAGAACGTACACATCTGTGGTCAAAGGCAGTTAGCCTTTTTTTATATCTTCTATTAGCAGTGGTTATGTTTCACAGAGCAAACTGCCGTGCAGTAAACACCTCCTGCGATCAATAACCGGATATCACATGTCTGCGCCTGAAACGTATGGCGTGAGTTGGCAAATATCCCACCAGCCCTTCTAATTATCCTACACACAGTTAGTAATTTAACAACTTGTATCATGCCAGATTTATGTTACTTAAAGTTAGTTACTTCCTATGAATAACTTCTTGTCATCATGACAAAAAGTATGTTCACATCTCCCCTCCCAGCTGTTTAAAATCTACATAATTTGGTATTGTAAGTCAGAAGATAAAATCAAATTTCTCTTGCAATATATTCACTATTCTTGGTTTATTTATTCTTTAACGTTCCGAGTGGAATACAGGGCTTCAGGCTAGAGCTGTGAAGTTTCAGTAGCAGTGGTTTTGGTATGGTTGCCAGCCTCACGCCCAACTCTACTTCTTTATCTTCCTTACTGTCTGCTAAGCGAGGTTTAGAAGTGCTGCAATGGCCGAGAAACGAACCCTCAACCTCATGTCTTTGAACCTTTGGAGCATCGACTCATTGGTGTTTCATTCAAATTAGGCAAACAATGAGATCAATTTTTCTAGGTTATTCGCATCTCTGTTGCCGTTTCAATGTTTCAGCGAGTCTACTCACACGCTTTAATCAATCATTCTTCTTATATATACACATGTGTATGTTTGTGGGTGTGGGTGTCTGCGTGTGTGAACCAGGATTGAGCTAAGGTGAGTTGAGGTGAATGAATGATAGGATACGGGGGTAGTGGTTTCTTTTCGATAGACCAAACTACACAATAAGTTATAACTGATATACAATACGGTGCTCATGTCTCATGGTGACCTGTAAAATACCCTGAATGTTTTCGTTGAAGGGTATCAGACATTGTTATGCAATGTCAACATTAGTCTAAAGATTTAACCGACATTACCAATAAGTGACAAGCATGAAAGCAAGCATTAGTGCATGATTTGAATAATTTCGTGTTCCAAAGGAATCTGTGGTGAATCTCTCCACTCCTCAAATTTTGCATAAATTACAAAAATGTAAAAATTCAGTCATAACGTGTTAAGCACGGGCTTTGAATGAAGAAACAAATGTCAGAAAAGAACTTATAAGCTCTTTAAATCAGTAGATATACAGTAGATTACTATCAGAATTATTATTATTATCATGTATATCATTTATTTATTATGTTCCCCTAACTTCTAGTTTTTGAGGGATTTTATAATTTTTACTATTTTATGTATTTATATATTTATTTGCAAAATGCAGCTAAATTGTTGCAATTTGTACAAAATGCCGAAAATTCCATTCACTGTAATTATTATTATGGCTTGGAATAAAGTGAATATATTAATATTATTATTATTATTAACCCTACAGTCGATACCCTATCACTGTCGCCATTATTGTTTGCTGTGTTAATCTGTACTAGTTCTCCTTTTGTTCCATTATTTACCCTTAGTAGAGGGTGTTGACATGTCAACACAAGAGACATCGAGCATTTCGCTTCACACGGAAA